CGGGACTTACACAACGACACTGAGGTGGTCGAGCGCATGTACTGATAACAGTGGTCATAGATCATGTTTTCGAGCTCCTGTGCCTTGTGGCCGATCTGATCAAGAATCACATGGTAGTGAACGGGGCGTGATGTTCCCTGCAGCGCGATGTGCGAATAGAGAAGAAAATCCCAATCATGTGGACTAGTGACGTCCTTTTCAATGAGAGTTCCCGGAAGAGGGTTGCCGTTTTTATCAGCCGAATTGCGATCTCCGGGTCTGGGAAAGGCCCTGAGGTGATGACGCTTGTTGGCAATGACGACAGTAAATTTGCCCTTCCACTGCTCCTGGGTGAGCTTCATAAAGATAGACTTCATGTCAAAAACCTCCTGTTTCAGGACATGTTCGAATTCACCCGTTGAAACTCCATCGCGGAAGTAGTAGACATGCTCGGGGGCGCGTCCCTGTCCAACTGTAGCCATCCATTCACGGACAAGAGGAGTCAGCATGTGCTCGATATTAGCACGCGCGATAATTTCAGTGCGGTCTCCGTTTGCCTCACAGGCGCCCCAGTAGCGGCCACCGAACGAATCCATGCAAACCGACATAGCAGCCATCGACGGGGACCACACACCCATAGGAGCATGCGTAACATCCGCCCCAATGATCATCGAATTAGCGCGAAGTGTAGCTTCCTTGACCTTGGGCACAATGCGGGCAGTGGTGCCACCGAGCTTCGCATTGACCTTCATCAAGACGTTCGAGATGTATTGAGGGTTGGCCTTTGCCACATGAGCCGCTTGGAGACACTGGGAGGGAACACCCCAGCGGCAGTCGCAGGATTTCTTGATACGACTGTAAGTAAAAGAATTTTTGTCGGGAACGACAATGATCAACAGCTGTGGATCCTTTTGAAACTTCAGGCCGGTGGAGTTGTAAAGCTTCTTGAGGGCCTCCGCAATATCCTCTTTCAGTTCAACAATTAGGGGGCGATTGGGAACACTACCTCCATGCCCAGCGTAAGTCTTCATAAACCCGTCCGCGAACTTTTCAATTTGGGCTTTGTTAATGGCATTGCGCTTCCCGGGAAAGAATCCGATGCTCCAGCTTTCCAGTGGTTTCTTGTTGGGCTGATAGAACTTTTTACCCCGGAGGTCCCAGCGACCGTTCGTTCCTGGATTAAGGCGCTGGTTGCCTCCAAATTGGATTTCTGGATTGGGCAGGAGACGAGCCTTGGTGCGAATCATGTTGGCGTCAACCTGGAGACCAAAACTTCTCAGGACAGGGTCGGCAGAATGATCAAGCATCTCTTTGGACTTCTGGATAAAGCTCAAACGCTCAGCAGGACGAGACGCCGCATATTTGATCATGGCGGAGGTTTGCCACTCGTTCAATTTCCAGGGATACTTGTGAAGTCCGTGGATGGTCAGAACTTCCATAGGATAGACCACCCCTTTCTTGGTCATTTCGACCATAGGGAGCTCCCAGTTGTTCAAGATCAGATTGTACTTCTTCTTGAAGTAGGCGTCCACGGTCATCGTTTCAACCACGCCGGTAGCCTTGTCTTTGATGTCAATCGTATACTGACGTGCGTGGGCATTGAGAAGCCCTTTCACAACGAACGTAGTACCGCTGACTGGGCATCCGGCATAGTGTGGCTGTACGTGCAGCTTCCGGAGCCGTCGATGGACCTCGTAGAATCCATGAGATTCAGTGACTCCACCGAAGCCATCGGGTGCAGCACGAAGCAGGTGCGTCAAATGCTGATGATCTCTGGCATCAAGAACGGCCATAGCAGCTCCCATGAACGAAATGCGAGCCCAAAAGCAAGTGTTTGAGACATCGATGTTGACAATGAGACCGCGGTTCTAGAGGCAATGTTAGAGAATGACAACACCAACTATCTCGAAGGAGGCGAAAACTTACAAGAGCAGGTCTGATAGCTTGATAAACGCCCTTGAAAGCGAGGACAGCGTTTCCCAAGTCGCGGTTTTCGCCGTTGGGATCAAAGAAGGATCGCTTGATGGCGACAAATCTACCACTTGGGTATTCACGAAGAACATGGTCCAGGAAGTCTAAGAGCAATTACAAAAAAGACTCAAAATCAAACACGATTCTTCAAAACACTTACTGAGGGCTTCCAGAACAGACTCCTGCATTGAAGTTCTGCCCTGCAACCAAGCGTTCAAAACGGCAAGGTTCACGGTTTTGGTCGGGCGGACAACAAGACGGAAGACATTCGAGGTCCTACCAGCGCGACCCTGTTCAGCATCCAAGTCGACCATGGCATTCAGACCATTTGGGTAGTTGTTCATGGACCTTCAACATATTAGTTACTACTGCTCATGAAGAAAGGACATTTCGATAGCTGCCCACCAGGCCAATTTTGAACCATCGAAAATAATCTGCTTCAGGGCAGATTTCCTGGCGTTCGAATCCCAGACCTTCTTGATCACGACGTTCTTTTCAGCTCCGTTGCCAACATGGACCTAGGGCATCATTCAGTTATAGCACCTTCAACGAAAAGTGACATGGAGAAATTTTTCCAAAAAAAAAGACATAAACCTTGAATGCTTGGGATACTTACATCGTACTGGTAGATCGTTTTGTTGGGAAACTTGGTAATCGGGAAGGCGTTCATCTGGACTTCAATCTCCTTGCCAGTAGTATTGAATCCAGGACGAGGGACAGTGTCCACTGGAACCGCGTACTTTTTCAGCTCGTCAGCGTCACGAATGCGAACATGGCGGAGACCACCAGTAAGCTTGTTGATCTCTTCAAAATTCTCCATGACGACAGAGATGTGCAAAGTAGTGTGAACCAGAAATGGAAGAGCCTAAGCTAAAGGGAATATGCAGTGGAAGCAAAGTTGAAACTGAAGTGGACGTGGAAGTGGAAGTGGGAGTGTGGTTGGGGAGAGCCAAAGAGTTGAAGATCAGGGGAGGAAGAAGGAGGATATAAATAAGTGGAAAATGTGCAGAGTTGGCCCATTGTGAATCATAGTAGACAGTTCAGGAGCAGTGAAACAAAGAGATGAATGCCGTTTTGCAAAACCAATGGGTGATGCATGGGCAATGAATAGATGTGTGATATACAGGATATTGTTTGACCAAAAGCAAGAGTGAATGGGACTAGATAGGGAAAGAAACATGGAGTGTGACGGGCCTGTAAAGAAGGGCATTGATGGTAGTGATAACAATGGCAAGTGAATGGACAGAGAATACAACGCAGGAACAAATGATTGTAGGGGGAGAGAAAACAGTTTTACAATTCCAAATATGGACTCCAAAGTTCTTTCTTCTCAAGATTCCACCATACAGAATCACCAAAGGAGACCGAACAAGAGGAAGGAAGGAAAAGAAGAGAAAAACAAACAGGACGAGAACTCACCAGATGGTTGATATTATATGCCCCCAGTGGCAAATCGATATTTCTGCACATGTCCGTTGCAAACTTGGGGCGATCCAAAGCTGGATCCCTAGTATGGACTCCAGCCATGCTTGCTCAAAGATTCCCGTTAAAATGTCTATACCCATGTGTTAGCCTCTGGAATCGCTGACATTGCAACGCAATCGCGCAAAAAACTAGCCCCCCAGGGCTTCCTAGGAGGCGGCACAAGAGTATCCCAGTCCATATGATAGATGAGTACGGAAAGGTCTGGGACCGACAGGCAAGCAAGAAACTTTGATCCACAGCTTTGTGCAGGCCAGTTGCCAAAACAGAACAGGCTTATATACGGCTAATGTGGCACCAACACTAGACCACAAAAAGCGAAAACTTACCGAGACAGGTTGTCAGAGACGTGTCGGAGAGTGGACAGGCGAATTCGAGACCGATGAGAAAAGTGTTCAATCGGAGATTAAGTCTTTGATGTTTATGCGTCGACAATCAGCGGATGTATCTTGGAGGTCGTGGGGCCAAGATCAAGGTTATGGGGAATGACTAGGAGAGACAGACTGATAGGAAGTTATGGGTTGGATAATAATGAAGGAGGAGGATGGTGGTAGAGGAAGACGAGAGAGTAGGAGAGGATCAGGTGGAATAGGACGGAAAGAGTTGACAAGGATCGGGTGAGGTGAAGGCTTCCTATTAGGAAGGAACGACAGAGCGAGATACGGGAAGAGGTCAGATCTTGGGGAAAGTGAGCTTGAGACAAAAGAAGAGGTAGGTAGATAGAGAAGATGAGGATTATGGCCAGATGAAGCAGAAGAGAGGACTATGGTATGGTGTAGCTTGGGAAAGAGGATGGAGGAGAGTGCGAAGTTGTGTATAGACAGACGCGTTGGTTGCTAGGAAGGTACGTGAGGCGTGACCGAGACGTGGCAGACACGCGACGAGGACAACATTCGAGAAGGAACAGATGGTAGAAAAGGAAGGTGCAGTGGAGGAAAAGTCAAGGAAAGAGAAGGATGCTTGGGAGAGGAAGATTGTAGAGAGGGTAGATGAAGCTTCATATAAGAGATGAAGGCCTGATACTTGACTTACCTTTAAATGATTTAACATGAGTAGATGGGAAGATGAAAAGGTCGTTTTGGAGTGAGAAGGAGATCCGTGTAGTGTATGTGGTGGAGGTGGAGGTGGAGGTGGACGTGTTAAGAGACGTGTTGAGGGCTAAGTGAGGTTGCTGTGAGCAGGTTTTCAATTTCTCATGGCTGATCTTTTGAGTGAGGCAAGTGCTCGCTGGAGGAGAAGACTACCTAGTGAGAAAGGGCGCCAGGTGATTACAGTCAACAGAGAGACTTTCGATGCTGTAGCATAGAAATTTTCTAACGATGTAATAATGAACGGTTATACAAGCGCCCTGTACGGGATATAGAACGCACAGAAAAGGTCCTTATCAAGACCGTTCATACGTGAGTGCAGCGGGAAGGAAGGGAAGTTGACATGGCCAAAGTATTCGAGTTGATTGGGAGTGAGTACCACCTGAAATGTACAAGAATAGGAGCTACCTTAAGCCATTCAATGACTTACACTACAGCTCTACAAAGGATCATAGCCAGATCAGCCAAGTCACGATATCTCTCATTCATTGCAGACTAGTTTGTTCGATAGACAGTTTACAACCGTGTCTGTACAAGCCACACCGGACGCGAGCAACCAATTCAACCAAGAAACAAGGGGTAAAAACGATAAGAAGAATCCAGAATGAGATATCTGACCTGGGCCTTGGCCATCAAACACTCAAAAATGTGGGCCAAACCAGAATTAAACGCCGATCCCCGAATGCAAGCGGTACTGAAGAGGACTATACAGTTTGGGCCACGCGGGTATGTGAGGCGATGTCATCGCGAAGTCAAAGGAGGAGATCGGTAATGCACTTCATCGAGGCAGTCTGGGGAGACATAAAAGGAGCTCAGGAACGGTACATGCCTATGATACCAGATTAGCTGAATTGATCATTTGAACAGGTCGAAGTTGGGAAATGTCTCAAAAATGCGACACCAAGATCGAGGGTAAAACATACCAGAAAACGGCTGCGTTCCCATGGGTGCTTGGCCACCCCCAAGCCCTCGGACTGATTGCGGAAGTGGGATCTGGGAGATCGAGCTTGGCATATCTATCCTCCGAATGAGATCGACCATTTTCTCTGGGGAAAACCTTCCAGCCGTGTATGCGGATGCCGACGGGATAATGCTCAGCAGATAAACGATATCTCGGGGTAACGGGGCTGGTGATCCCTGAGACCGGAATTGGGACGCCTGGACTCCAACGGGTTGGGGCCGCTTTTGCTGATCCAACTGCCGCTTCTGGGTCGTCTTTAAAGGTGACTCGGCTCGTGCAAACTTCCGGGGTCTACTTCCGTCCTCGTCGAAATCTTCCAACGGCCTCTTCGGCGAGTCTGCGACCGTTGTTTCGGGATATCTTGGAGAGGGAGTGCCATGGCGAGACGCCATTTGCTCCTGGGGGAAGGCTTGCTTCGGCCTCATTTGAGACGGAGAGATGATCGGGCGGACGGCAGTGGGATCAAAGGCAGCAGTCGAGTAGCGGTGCGCAAATTGCTCTAATGTTGGGTCCTCAGGGAACAGTTCACGCATCCGGCTTTCGAGGTTGATGACTTGAACGAGATCACCATAGCGCGACTCGTATTCGTGCAGGAATGCAAAGATTGGCTTGGCTTTGTGTACATTCTCTAGGTTGGACGCTAGCTTCCTCACTGTCATTTCGAACACCGCTCTGGCATCTAAAGATAGAAGGATCAGTAACCAGTTCTAGGGGGCATGCAGTGAGGATCAAGGTTCGACTTACTGATGACATCGTTGATGTCGATCAAGTGCTTCAAGTATTCAAGAGCAAAGTTCTCGTCATCGGGGAAGAGCTTAGCGCCACGCTCAAAGATCTTAGTAGCTGCAGGGTCCTTGTAACAATGATATTCGATAAGGGCACTGGCGATGTAGACATCGCTTGTGATACGCCCCCTCTTGCGAGCATCGGCAAAGACCTGTCTCGAGCCAGGCATCTCGCCAGGTTTTCCTTTGCCTTGGATGCGCCGCATTGCACGCATGAGAGCAATCCAAGCAAAGGAGACCGTCCTTGAGAGTATCCCAATCTGAATGGCGTGCGCATTTCGCAGTGCTTCAATCTGAGCGTTCTTCATCAACTCTAGTGACTTTGACTCCTGGTTCTGGTCGTCATCGTCATCGTCGTTGGACGGCTGTTTGTTGGGGTAATTTCGTGCAAAGTGTTCTTCCAAGCCAGCGACGTCCTGTGATTCCCGCGTCCGGGCCTTGCTAATCAAATCGTACAGAGCATCCAGCAGACGATCATAAGGTTCGCGGACTTTCGCACCGCGCTTGATAGGGTCTTGCTCAGATTCCGAAGTGATTTCCAGACGGTCAGCTCGCTTGAACGCGAGCAGGCAGCTTTCCGGATTAGCATCGACACCGTGTTTCAGAAATTCATTCCCTTCGGTTTCTAGGTCGTTGAGGAAACAGAACTCAGCCGCTTCAAACCACATCTCCGGCAAAAACCTGAGTGCCATCAAAGCCTGCTTGTAGACGTATACGACTCGTGATTTGAATGCTGCCATGTCTTCCTCCTTCAGAACAAGAGGGTCGCCCTTCTCCCATTGGATCCAGCGCTTCCAGATGTCCACTTGCTGTGCAAAATCAACATCGCCCTCGGAGCCTGGAACAGGAGGGAACCGGGGCAGGGATGTCCGATTGAGGTCCCTGGTGATATTTTGCAGTTCTGTATATGAACTTCGCGCAGTCATGTAAGCCGGAGACTGTTCTTGGAGGAATTTTCGGCCCTATCACACGGTCAGTAACAATATATGAATTGAATTGGATGTGGCGTTAGGGTTACCGTAAGCTTGTTCAATCCCATCTCGAACTGGTCGTACTCTTTCCACAGTGTGTTAACGGCCTGGGTCGGCACACCTATGGCTTTCTGGTATGCCTTCCGGAGCAAATCCATCTTCTGCTGGTCTTGCCATCCCGAGCCTCCAACATTACCAGGTCCGGAGCGGATAAACTGCACGTAATCTGCCCAAATCGAGCCGGAGTCCTTATCTACACCGACATACTGAAAAGCTAGATCGTAGGCAGATGAGATGATTGCTCTCGACTGTCCAGACTTATCTGTGGTTAAAGGGTTTCGCCGACGGACGTAGTCCAAGTACACGGTCCAGAGCTGGACATCAGGAATCGTCAACAGAGTTCTGTTGAAGATTTGTTCCAGGCGGTAGAGCTCATTGAGTTCAGACTCCATATTTGCGTATGCCACCCATTGTGCAGCCTAAAAATAAAAAGTCAAAATATGAGCTTCTGCTTCTGTGGTTTAATGACTGGCGCGGATGACTCACGGCAAATGGGAAGACGGTCAGGAAACGTTCGTAGACATCACGAGCATTATCAATCCTGTTCCGGCTTCTGTGTTCATTAATTAATTCAAGCCAGGCAGGGATATCTCCGCGAGGGTCCTCTTGGATTCTGTCCTCCAAGATACCGATGCGGTCATGGGGCAAGCGACCCTTCGAAGTGGATGGAGACTCAGGAGTAGGAGTAACGGCAGCGCTGCTTTGCACATTCTCCAGCTGTGGGGTACGTGAGTTGTACAGGTCCTGGCCCGATGGGGTCGAGGCCTCATTTTTAGAATCAGCGGCAAAAGGGTGAAAAGAACTATTGGAAACATTTTTCGCGTTGGCAGACTGCTGCGCAGCTTGATCCAACGATACATCAGGGGTAGAAGTATCTTCATTTGCATTTCCTGAAATGGGTTGCTGAGGCACATTCACAGGTATACTATTCATGTCCTCAACACCTAGTACAGCCGGAGGCTCATAATCTGCATCACCCGCCTCATCCTCATCCTCATCCTCGACCACAAAACCCCCAATTGTTCTGGTCTTTGGCTGTGCGGAATTCGTACCAGATGTGGACGCCGGTGTTGCTTCCTGGGACTCAGCGCGTTGAGGTGTCTGGGATGGCTGGTCACTGCCAGTCTGCTGAGCAGGATCCGTGTCCGTGGGAGGGGAGACATCGTCGGGTCGCTGTTGCTCGGGCGCGGAGGCATCTGGGGGAACACTTTCGTTTTGTTTGGAGTCTGTTGGAGTAGTAGAGTATTCGCCTTGTAGCGTGTTTGATGGATCATATTCGTCTGAGTCTGAATTATCTGCACCCTCTTCCCCATCGGCCTTATATTCCGCAGACTCCGCATGATCTGCCTGGGCCTGGAAAAAGGCCTTCTCGGCGTCTTCATCAGCCATGGCAGAAGAATGTGGCCTCAAGCGCAATTAGGGGGAACGTGTAAACAGACAATTTCTGTCTTGCGATCCGGTTAGCGACCTGGAGATCTCTCCGCGAAGGGGGTGTTGCTTCGGGAATAGGCCACGTACTAGAAAAAGTGGGAGGGGAGAAGCGAAATTCGGCAATTGTATTTGGTCCCTTATACAATAACGAAAGAATCTAATGGGTTAAGAGGACGGACCGACAGGTGGACACGCACTGTTGGTCCCAACTGGAGATGATGATGCTGCTGCTGTTCCACACGCTTGGCAGAAGCTGCAGCTGTCACGCATGCGCTCACGTGACAGAGGGCGGTGAGCGCGAGGATGCGTCCAAAACGCGGCGCGTCGTCGATCTTTCTTTCTAGGGTTGGTCATTTAATTACTTGCTGCTTCGCTGGTGCATCTCTCCCCCTCGATGAACTCCTCCAGTTCCTTCTCCTGATCCTATTTAAACCTGTTTCTATCTCCCGAGCTGGGTTTTAACCTTTCCCCCGCATTCTATACTTTCAATCCGGACCCCTTGGCCCAAACCTATATACCCAACCCAAATCTCATCGCGGAACTCGCGCCCACCACCTATCGCCATGTCGGTCGTCTCTCTCCTCGGGGTGAAGATCGTCAACAACCCAGCCACGTTCCTCGACCCGTATCAATTCGAGATCACTTTCGAGTGTCTTGAGCAGCTTCAGAAAGGTTTGTTTGAAATTAAAAATTCAATCGCGATCGCAATACTGATCAGGTGCCTTTTCCTTTAGATTTGGAATGGAAGCTCACTTATGTCGGGTCTGCAACCTCGTAAGTTGAAGCCGCCCGGGTCCTCCTTGTCGATCCTGAGCGCTGACCCCACCAGCTCTGAGTACGACCAAGAGCTCGACTCTCTCCTTGTCGGGCCCATACCTGTCGGAGTCAACAAGTTCATCTTCGAGGCCGATGCCCCCGATCTCAAGCGGATCCCCACTTCTGAAATCCTCGGTGTCACCGTGATCCTCCTTACATGCAGCTACGACGGGAGGGAATTCGTTCGTGTGGGATACTACGTGAACAATGAGTACGATTCGGAGGAGCTCATGGCCGACCCGCCTGCGAAACCCATCATCGAACGCATTCGCCGCAACATCCTTGCTGAGAAGCCGCGAGTGACTCGATTTGCCATCAAATGGTATGCCGATTTCTGTAATTGCCTTCTTTCATTGCCCTCAACTAACATCTTCAAGGGATACTGAGGAGTCTGCCCCTGCCGAATACCCGCCTGACCAGCCAGAGGCCGACAACCTTGAAGATGACAGTGGTGCCTACGGTGTCGAAGAAACAGAGCTTGAAGCTGCCTTGGTAAAGGAGTTAGCGGATCATGGCAAAGAGCCAAAGGCTGAAGATCACGAAATGGAGGGTGCCGAGCCCACTCCTGTCAAAGAAGAAGACGAGGAGGAAATCTCCGACGGCAATGAAAGCGAGGATATCGAAGACGAAAGCGATGACGACGACGACGACCTTGATGAAGAAGATGGCGCAGACGGCGATGAGGACGTCGAAATGGGCGATGATTCGGAGCAGAAAGATGACTCCAAGTCCAACCACCCGGTCCAGCCTCCCCATCCGGAGGTCATGGTGCACTAATTTGAAGCATCATCCCCGTTATATCCAAAATTACGAACTGGATTGTTGAATGTTTGCCCATCCTTTTCTTCATATGATTTTATGATCGGTTGCAACGTTTCATGATATAGGAGCTCCCCATACATACCTTACCTTTACTTTCACATATGCACCATTTAGTTTACGATATAGAACCAAACCAAATCAACAACATGTCAACAACCAAATAAACATTCCGTCCACCAAAATACCCCGTAACCATGGTGAAGAATTAAAGGGATAGTACGTCCCTCAACCAAGTTCCACCTCAGCCTGCACTACACGCAGGGATCTTCAGCGGTCTGCAGAGATATGGACCACCCATCGATCCCTCACAGGAATATGCAAGGCCTGGGTGACTTGGAATTGTCTGGTACAAGCAATTCATCTGCAAAGTCGCCAAAATTCTCTCAGTGTACAGCAGGACTACCCCCCGCGCTCTCCTTTCTGCACCCGCTTGCCACAATATCCATTTTTTTTCATAGCAGCAAGCTTAGAAATAATCTTGCCTCGCGTCATTCAGAGAAAGGGGCTGATATTAGGAGAAGAAAATAATCAGGTCAGCTATCGGGGTCAGAGACATTGTCGGGTCGAGACCTTATAAAGATCTAACCCTCGCAGATATTACGCATGTCCTATCTACTATAATAGTCACTAGCTACTTTGATATTTTACTAAACAGCTGTTCAAGTGATACCAGTCCTTGGTGTTGATCCGTTACATCATAGTTCAGTGAGTGTTGATATGATCTGGTGGTAGTTTGGATTTGATCATTTCTACCTGTGATTGAGGGAATGTATAGGTTTATGATGGCGGGTGTGTTTTAGATTCACTCGTCCCTCTTCTGATCGAAAGTCTTTAGAACCTGGAAGTTGTAAATACTCTCTCTAATTGACAGTGACAGGTTGTTCAAGGGGCCACTATGGGAGTGGATGTACTTAGGTTATAGTTACATACCGTGCTGGGAATCTGTGCTGTAGGAAACTACTCAGACTTCACTATGTATGTTTTTACTAGAAAGTAATAGTAATACTGGATGGGTCTCCTTGACTGAATGGATTTCTTAGTTTCCACTTCATTGACACCATAGTTGGGTAATTTGTTTATACTCACTGTTGATCTATAGGTAGTGGTGGTCTATGTGCCAGGTGAACAAATGTATAAATCTACCTGGTCTACTGCAATTAATGAATAGTGTCTTGATATTACTACCTGACAACTAAAGAAATAGCTTCGCACATTACCCATACATGATTATCTGTGGATTAAAATATAACAAGCACAACAAACCAGATTATTAGAGATGATGGGGTATGTAACTAAGAATAACTTCTCCGACTTCACAATCTGTGTCAATTTCCTTTGTGAACCGTTCGTCCCTCAAAGACCAAACTTCGCCCCCAACGCTATCAATTCAATTAGCACAACCAACGGTACACCATACAGAATAGGATAACTGGTACTTACCACCCAAAACAGCCTTCTTCTTCTGATTCTGAACATACTTGTTGACATCCCGAGCCCAGCCGCTACTGTTTTCCTCCAGACGGTCCATGTGGTCGCCAGCCATACTGAGCTTCTCGGTACGCTCTTGCACTTGACGCTGCATGTACGAGAAGTATCCTTCCTGGCTGCTCTGAGACTGGCTCGACATGTTGGTCGGAGTTCGGTTTTCCCGGTCGAGTCTTCGGCGTTCTTGGTCGTCGAGGCGCAATTGTTCTTGCATCTTTTTGGATAATGGTCGGTCAGGGCCTCCGACTGTGAGATATTGTGTTAACAGGTATTTCTATATTATGATAGCTTGTTGGGCGAGGGTACGAACTGAGAATGTCCATGTCGGCGGGCGAGACGTATTGCGTGCCGGATATCCATTGGATGTTGCTGATAGTTGGTCGCGGAGGGAGTTGGGCTTCCGCGTTGAAGAGCCGGTCCTCTGAAGGTCGCCTGAATAATCTTGTTAGCCTCCAGTGGTAGGAATCAGGAAAAACGATATTTCTTACACTCCTGGCCCAGACGACCAAACGTTGAAAAGTCCCACTTGAGAGGGCCCCGTCCAAAGAAGAACAGTTCCGTTCGAGCAAATGGTAGCATCCGAAAGTCGTCTCATCTCAGCCATGTGTCCAATAGGACTACAGCCAACTTCTTTGAGTCCAGGGACAGAGAACGCGCGAACATGGCCATCGCCGAAAAGTCCAATCAAAGTATGGCCTCGACCTTCGACATGGACGACTTCGGCGGAGTCACACAAAAAGTCGTCCCAGCTTTTATGGGCACCCTTCGAGGTGGCTGGCTTGAAAATCCTGCATCCAGAAACAGTCACCGCGATGACAACGCCATTGACTCTAGCTCCATTCCTCAAGCCACCAACGGCGTTCGGCGTCGCCAGAGCAGGGCTACCAGTGTCGGCATTGACGGGAGAGATTTTGATGACTTTGTCGTCTAGTAGCAAAGCACCGGCGAATTGGGCCTCGTAGGCTCCATTGCTCGCGGGTATTATTTTAAAGGTTGCAAGGTGTCCCTTATAAGTTCCCACAAAGCAGCAAATGCTCGAGTAATCTGAAAAGTGGATTAGTATAATCTGGCTTTTTTTTCTTGGGAAGGGAAACTCCATCCTTACCATCACCTTCTAACGTCAATACGCCAAATTCAATGCTTGTAGGCCACTCCGGGACCGGCGCTTCCGAAGCACGATGCTTTCCGAGGAAGCTACCCCGTTTGTTCGCCTTGGTAAGTTCGGACAAATGGGTCGTGTGGATAATGGCCGGGCCACGGAGATCAATAATGACAATGCCGCCATTCTGGAAGCCAGCTGCGACAAAACCGACTTGGCTATGTTTCAGGGCAGTCACTGGTCCCTGCTGCATGTCCAGCAGTGTAAGTGGGAGGAAGCCCGCCCTCAGCACAGGATCAGTTCTATGGGTGACTTTGGTTAGCATCCCGGGACCTTGATTGACACCCGGAGGCTCTTCGCGGCCGAAGCTTGGGTTGTTGCCCCATCTGAAGATCACAAATTCTCCGGATTTGAGACCGATAGATATTTCACCAGTCGAGCCACTTAAAGAAATCTCTGAAACCTCGACATTGCCGACTCGGCCCACAGCCCGCGACAAGTCCACTTGGATGACGTCCCCATTTTCAACCTCATCGTCGTGTCCCACGTCCCACAGACGGACAGTCCCGTCTCCATGTGCCGTGGTGATGATATTCCGATTTTCAAATCGCTTGAGCGCCTTTCTTGCTTCGGCGCCACCCTGTAGGAATTTGGGCCCTTGCGATCGCTTTTCCTTGAGACCAAGCCAAGCTCCGCGCTCCACCGCAGTCAATTTGATCTTGATCACAAAAGGATGAACAAAAGTGAGAGACGGGTGGATCATGTTAGTTGGAGTGATGGGATGGCCACTCGGGAAACTCATGGTGATCAGCTCGCCTGAGGAGAGGATGGTCATAAGGGCAATCGGATCGTGGGCGCCGGCATAATAAGGCGAGGCGCGGGGAAGGAGACAGAAGTCCGCAACGTCCGCACCAGGGGGGGTCGGAAGATTAGTGATTGCCTGCGGTTCCGCAAAATATTTGGTGATCATGGCCCAAGAAGAGGTCTGATAGTTCGGGCTTGACCCCAAATCAATGAAGGTCAGCCCTTTGTTGGACTCTGCCTTTGGCCGACCACCGGCTATCAACAGACCACTATCATCACCGTTGGCCTTGACACACCACGCAATTTGGGCGATGGGGTTGATCAAACCAGTCGCAGCCCCTCCGGTCTGAGGTTGGACACCTGGTTGATCAACGTCCGCCGTCTGTATGGACCTAGCCATCAACTTGCGGCCATCTTTTGAGTCCCAAAAGACCAGACTGTTGTCGTCGTGCACCGTTAATATGAAGACCCCATTTGGGTGCCACAGCGCCCTGGTTAATCGAGGCTTGTGCAGATCGTGTAACGGGACATTGGAATTGCCCCCCAGGGCACCAGGGGGTACCTCATACTCGAAGTAGTGCTGCGCGATGTTTTGCTTGAACGAAAACACCACGGCTCCGTCCGGATATCCCACCAAGACCTTGCCAATATCGCGAGGCGAAAATGCGAGCGAAACCACTGGACAGAAGCGCGCCCGAGGATTGCGCTGGACCCAGAGATTAGAGACTCTGAAGGGCGTGAGGGATTCGCGGTCCAGGTCATAGGCAATGATATCCCCTGTATCAACCAGTCAATACCTTATCATCTCTCCCCCTACCAAGTATTTCTACATACCGTTTTGCAGACCGATAAACGCATAGTCGAGGCTCGGATCGGTCAACAATGCACTGACATGATTCGGCGGGGTATGAGAGACAAGCGTCTGTTTGGTGTCGAGCGAGAAGACAGATATTTCACTCTTGGAGTCGACGCTGATAAGCTTGTCGGCGCAGAATTGAAGGAATTTGGCGGACGCCTTCCGAGGTAAGTTGAAGATGGCAGTTACTCGTCGTTGACCGAAGACATAAATTTGGCCGCATCCAAACTGGGTGTCACTTGTGCCAACCGCCAGGAGAGACTGGACGGGATCGTATGCGATTACGCTGACCTGGGAATTGATACCGTATCGTGCGAACTACAAAAGAAGTGGAATCCATCAGTACTGATCTCTTCTCAAACGATAGCTTGCGGGGAACCTACATCATCGATCGCGAACAAATCTGGCGACAACCCCTCGGAAAAGTCCTTCTGTATTCCGGCTTGCTTTCCTCGCAGGAAATGTGCCATGTTGCATTAGATGTTGGGATTTCCCAAACGATGGAAAGAAGATAGATATATATGGAAGAGGGAGATGGAGGCGATAGTATGGATCCTCAAAAGTGCGGAACAGAAACCTTGCAGGTGTTTGATGGCGGACCCCAAGGCATCTCCATTCATGCCGCGGAATGTTAACTTGACGCCATTTGCCAGCGCTGGTCGCGGGGCGGTCGATCGGCCCCACCTAGTTGTCCGGAAGGGGTTTAGTGTTGCAATGAGGTATGGGATGCCAGTGCCACCGGTATCATCATTCTGGGTTCTTTGTCCCAGCATTACAACGTCAGTAGTACGATAATGATATATATTGATTTTTGGTAAAGAAGAGAAAATTTGCAGCTATGAAGTCGTTATATCCTTTTATCGTTGCACACATTTTGGGGTTGGGATTTGCACAAGAATCCCTACCAAACAGTGGAAATGGAGTGTAGCCCAAGCAACATGAAGTGTTCAGGCAGAAAGACTGACTGCCAGATCACCTAGGCAGCAACAGTTTCTGATTCTGACCTTTCTTAGAGTGACGAGCCTCTGCAGCTACTATATAGTAACGTCCGTCCACATCTATATTGGTTAAGACGGTGCCTGTGACAGGAAGAGCTCAACCCAGTCCCCTTATTGTGCCTTACAACCCAGCAGGAGATGCCGTAATGGTCTCAGGGGCTTTTGATTGTAGATAATTTTGCCAATATCGTCGTCAGTTGTCGTCGGGAGTCAATCTCGGCAGTCACATTGCGATGTCGATAATACTCCGTGATGATTCGACACACAGAGCGATAGCAGGCATATCTGTTCAGCAAAAACATACCGATTAGCACGTTGTCAATTCTCGGAAGTGAGACATCCAGCTTGAGTCCAAACATACAGTAGTTGTCGAGTCCTTTCCGATTCACTTTTGATCGGCTGCCTCCCAAACCCATCTAATACTGCGGATGAGGGGCCCTCGAATATTTCAGTCATGAGAATGTCCCCCCAAAGTGTGTTCCCAAAGTCTATAATCCCCGAGAATTGCTTCGTCTCCGGATCTAATAGTACCTGTGATGGTCGACCAAGGTCCATGACCACAAGCCGTGGTACCGTTACTTCGTCAAGAGCCGGCGATAGACGACGGACGTGTTGCCTGATCTCTGTGTAGGGAATATTGACGAAGACATCTTCCGAGTCGCGAATGATATTCTCAACAAGGGCAACAAACACCTCTCGCCACGACTTTTTGCCTAACCCACGGGCGACTTCATCCAGGAAGCCGAACGAATCCGCCACGTGCCCTCCGATCTGACTCGCTAGCGAACCCAGGCTTCTGTCGAGGTCCTGGCGATTTTGGATACTGAGGCCAGCCTCTAAATCCCGAAGTGTCTCCCCCGGGGTATATTGTCGTACAACCAGAGGAGACCCCAGCAGACTGCCCCGACGGTCGTAAAGGAGCAGTGACGGAACGTGTGGAATTGCGCTTTTCTCGAGGAGTGCGAGAGCTCGAGCTTCTGTTTCTAGCAGGACCTGTTCGCGCCGCAACAGAGGGGTGGTCGGCTTTGGTGGCTGCTTCAGAAGGATCCGGCTGCCATTGGAGAGAGTGAGGACCTGGATCGAATGGAGATGGCCCTCTAGTAGACCGATGCTTTTCACATGGACAGACGGGGAAAAGATGCGTTCAACGACAAGTTCAAGCTCCTTCAGCGTTTCATGTTCCAGATCTTGAGGACTAAACACTCTTATAGGGGGCATGATACAGATGGTCCTAGTGTTTGGTACGGGGGTTCAGCATGGTGCGTGGGTAGTGTTTACCACGAGGAGTTTGGCGGTATAGGAATTCCTTAGATGGCGAACTATGACCGAACAAATAGAAGATCTCATCGAATATTGTTTACAATGGCTACTCCGACCATAGCAGCTTTATCAAGAAAAAGAAAAACAGAGAAACAAGAACATAAAAAGGATAAAACCTCTCGGATTGATCATCTGATCAGTGGTCCACATACGGTTCCCCCCCTACCTTACCGAGATTGTACACCTGCGAATTGAACACCTTTGCTGCCAGTGGGCAAGCCGATGGAACGCGTTTGAGGCATCTGGTGAGGGTCCATGCAATGCCTGTGAAGACGGGGCGCCACACTCGACCCTTCCCGAGTCGACATTAACCGAGCCCCATTGCATCCAGAATAAACGAAAGCATACTGGCTAAGCGAGTGCCAGATCTATAAAAATCTCGAATTCGAAACGAACAATCGCATGTGTTGAATGGCTGGGATTGGGAGATCGTGAAGTCGACCCCACGAACCGCAGGCTGCAACTGCTGGAGCTCGCCTAAGTCTCCCGCTCTAAGGAAGGTGCGATGTAAGCGAACCTGGTCGATCCAATCAGACGGCCGGATTACCGAAGCCGACGCAGCGTTTGAAGTCGCCTTAATTAAAACAGCTCCAGTGGTTCCGGCCCACATGCACGGTGTGTTGGAACGGCTAAGGCTTCCAGAAAACGAGTGATTTTCTATACAGGTCAAGCTCTTATAGGTGATATGTTTGTATTGTACTTTTTAGTTATGGATTCATCCATTGCACTGACTCATGACATGTCATCGTCTCTTCTGGGAAAAGCAACCACGGCTGTCTTAAGTGCCTAGGCACTGGGGCACTGTCGCTTAATGAGGTAATGAGGTACATAGTCGTTGACATGGATGACTTCGATGTACTTTCTTGGGCAAACTGAATCAAATCTCCCTGTATTCTTATATTTCCCAAACGTAGGATTGGATATTGTCGGAGTGACCCGATAGTAACTCATCGGGAATTCTCGCCTATGCTGCACTGTGCATGGGTATCGATCAACTGATAGGTTTTATTTATAATTTGTCACGATTCGGCAGCGGATGTAACTATTTGGCACATGTAAAGCGTGGTTTGAACAAGGATTCTGGACGCGACATGGGTGACTACCCACACATCACTCCCTGGACTCTGTAGGCTTTGTTTCATCTGGCTTCGGAGTTGGGTTGTACAACTCAGCCAAATTGTATCGCTTGAGTTTATCATAGTCGCTTCCAGCGACACTCATTCCGACCACATTCTGTAGTCTCAGGGTCAGCAACGGTGGTTAAACACTCCCACGCGTATCTAAAGTAGCAAAGATCATACCTGAATAACGTCAACAAGGATGACCAGATCAGGGTTCGTGAGATCGACAGGATGCTCTTTGCCCACGACATCGGCAATGGTTTTGATAACATTGTCTCTATTGAACTTGGAGTTGCTCCGAATAGCTGGTCGAATTGCATACTATAATGTTCTACGTTAACTAGGTCTCTTACCATACTTAACATGGAGAGGAACATACCTTCTTGGGGGGCCCGCCAGAATGGAAGTAGGGCTTGAGAATCTCGCGTGCGAAAACCTCGAGGTCCACGCTGAGTATCTTGCGGATGGACGTTATTGGCGTCATGCGTTTCACGTAGCGGCTTCGCTTCTTTTCAGGGTGAGCATATGCTTCCTCACAAAGTTCATGCACCAGTTTCTCGGGGTTGATGGATTTGTCAAATCGTATGAATGTCACTTTGCAGCGTTAGCCTCAACGATGTTATGCGGGGGACGATGTATGAAAGCTCAGTACGAACCACAGGGCGTGTCTAATCTGATAGCTTGGAAAAGACGGGCTTTGCCCGAGCCAGGCTTGAGGCCTTCGACTTCTTTCCTGATCTGGGTCTCGATGTCGTCTTCGTCTCCATCGGACTCACCATCTTCCTCACCTTGCCCAGAAGACTCGACACTCTGGAGATACCATGGGTTAGAGCAGTCGGGAAACTTTTATTATTTTTCTGAGAGACGAACCTGCGAAAAGATATCCAGTACTTCAGCAATGCATTTCGGTTCTCTTCCCAAATCGCAGGTGACAAACACCCCCCAGTCTCCGGTGTCAATGGTCACTTTATTGCCTCTTGATTTTTGCCATGATACGCCACCCTATACTGTGTATTAGACAACTTGGCCAATGAACAGACTTAAGCCATGGGCCCATCGGAAAGGTGGGACAGACTTCTTCAAACGTATGGCAAGGGAACAAACCTTTTGCTTCTTGGAGGATGAAGACATATTATCGGAGATAGGTCTTTTTCCAGGACCGGCCATCAATTTCCTCCTCCTATTGTTCTTGATTTGATTTCTTTTTGTCTCAACGAGTCGTAATTTTGGCCTTCTGTTTTTAGTTTAGTTTCTTCTTTTCCTTCTCAACTTGACAGCGTTATCTCGACTGAATGATTTGCTGATCCTCTATTCTGTGTTGACCGTGTATGACCCCGCACTGATGACAGCAGAAGCTAGATGCCTTGCCTGTAACTTTGTCATCAAACAAAAAGTCACCAGTTGATATCTATCAAGATCACTCTTCGTTACTTGTCGACAGCTATGGAAAGCCTATGTCCGCGGGTGGCACAGCGGGGAGATCAGAAATCCAAGATAGGAATAGTGGGGCAGTTCCGTCTGATAGTGAAGGCACCCCACCAACCTCCCGAGTCTCAGAGTGGACTGATTCCTTGACAGTGAAAACAAGACTGTTATCACTGCTAGGTGATTGAGTGCAAATAGGATTGTAACTTTAGCCTAAAGTAGACAGTCTGCCTTGAATCATTAGATGTTCATACACTGTGAGACTTATGGCATGCCACTGAGTGAACACCTCTCAATAAGCACCAACAAGCTCCAGACGGCGCTCCAGACGGCGCTCCAGACTCAAGTCTTTATATTCAATTAACTTGATTGGGATTAGCTGGTTAGCTGATCATATATTGGTATCACCCGGGAGATCCGGACTTAAACCGAGCAAATGAGCTTGAGTGAAGATGCAGTAATTCGGTGATAAAACGTCCGTGTGGCTTTCCTACAACGTACTATCATTCGACATTGCCAGTAGGGATGTTGGTCAATTTTAGAACAAAAGCCATAAAAACTCATCGGCAAGCCTGAGCGTATCGATTAGCAGACCAACAAAAGTGGGAAGGTGCTGTAGTAGGTAGTTATCTCTACATAGTCCTACCTGGTTTGGAGACACACATGACATCACGTCTCTTTCATGACGTTATAGGCTGCCGTTGTTACATCCTTATAAACCATTGCCAACCAACCCACTCCTGTCCACAAAAATTAAATTACTCAATCGTCTACTCCTCCAGGTTTTGGCCCTTAGTTTAATTGTTAATTAAGGCCCACGGAACGCTACATCATGCCTAACGATATCGCAACCAGAGAGCTTCGCCAGCCCGTTGATATCGCCGAATACCTCTTCCGGCGGCTCCATCAGGTTGGAATCCGTTCGGTGCATGGTGTTCCCGGTAAGAAACTTTCGGATACCAGAGTATTCGATAGAAATGTGTATACTAATCGTATCGGACATATAGGTGACTACAATCTTGTCGCCTTGGATTACCTGCCAAAATGCGGACTGAAGTGGGTGGGCAACTGCAATGAACTCAACGCGGGTATGATCGATTTGTTCAATAACTATAGAGAGGAAGTCTAACGAGGCGATCGCAGGATACGCTGCCGACGGATACGCTCGAGTTAAGGGAATCAGTGCATTGGTCACCACCTTCGGAGTCGGAGAGCTTTCCGCACTCAACGCGATCGCAGGAGCATATTCGGAATTTGTCCCCATCGTTCACATTGTGGGTCAGCCGCACACGCGGTCGCAGAAGGATGGGATGCTTCTGCACCATACCCTGGGTAATGGGGACTTCAATGTCTTTGCCAGGATGAGCTCGGGAATCTCGTGCGCGATGGGACGACTGAATGAGACACACGAAGTGGCCACGCTCATTGACAACGCCATTCGAGAATGCTGGATTCGCAGCCGACCGGTCTACATCACTCTGCCCACGGATATGATTGTGCAGAAAATCGAGGGCGACCGGCTCAACGACCCTATCGACCTCACTCTGCCCCCGAATGACCCCGAGAAGGAAGACTATGTGGTGGATGTCGTTTTGAGATACCTGCACGCTGCTCAGAGGCCCGTCATCCTGGTTGATGCTTGTGCTATCCGCCACCGCGTCCTTGATGAAGTCCAGGACTTGATGGAAGCCTCTAGATTGCCGACCTTTGTGGCACCGATGGGCAAGGGAGCAGTGGACGAGACCCATAAGTGTTACGGTGGAGTTTACGCGGGAACTGGGTCGTATCCCGAGGTCCGGGAGCAGGTCGAGTCGTCTGATTTGATTTTGAGCATCGGAGCCATCAAGTCCGACTTCAACACCACCGGGTTCACCTATCGCATTGGTCAGCTCAATACTATTGATTTCCACAGCAACTACGTTCGCGTGAGGTATTCGGAATATCCAGACATCAACATGAAAGGGGTCTTGCGGAAGGTCATCCAGCAACTGGGCTCTGTCAACGCCCAGCCACCGCCGCCACTTACGAACACTGTACCTAACGAAGAGAAGACCTCGGGTAACCAGGCGATCACTCATGCGTGGCTGTGGCCCACTATTGGACAGTGGTTGAAGGCGAACGACATTGTCATCACGGAGACTGGAACGTCGAACTTTGGAATCTGGGAGACTCGCTTCCCGCCCAATGTCACAGCCATCAGCCAAGTTCTGTGGGGGAGTATTGGCTATTCGCTGGGCGCGTGCCAGGGTGCGGCTTTGGCTGCTAAGGAGCATGGCCGGCGGACTGTGCTGTTCATCGGTGACGGCAGTCTACAGCTAACTGTCCAGGAGCTCAGCACCATGATCCGGAACAAGCTGAACCCAATCATGTAAGGATAATTAAGCCGGTGTCGCTTTGAATCATGCACTAACAAAAGCGCTAGATTTGTGATCTGCAACGAGGGATATACCATCGAGCGGTATATCCATGGCTGGGATGCGGCATACAATGACATCCAGCCGTGGGATATCAAGAGCCTTCCGGTGGTATTCGGCGCCAAGGACCAGTACAAGGGGTACAGAGTTCAAACCAGAGACGAGGTGACCAAGCTCTGTGCGAGCAAAGAATTCGCGGATTCGTCTTTACTGCAGGTACGTGGATGGTTCCTATCCACATATGAAATGTCTTTCGCAGCTGACAAGCGCACTAGTTGGTGGAGCTCCATATGCCCCGTGACGATGCCCCGCCGGCCCTGAAAATCACAGCTGAAGCAGCGGCGAAGAGAAATAAATGAATCTTCGGCTAGAAACTTGACGATTGTGCTAGCATAATTGTCGCACTGGAGGTGCTATCGTCCTATTATTTTCGATTAATGTCTTTATCCTAATATGCTTCTTTGGTTTGTTTGTCACGAAGGACTCAAGCCGCCTAAGGAAATTCCCAAGCAATCAAGAGGGAAGGTGGTGTCATACCAAAATTGTCAATTCGTTCTTGTCTTCTAGAAAGACATTTTCAATGGAATCTTGTAACTAGCACGTTGAGATTCAAAGGCCCTCGGCCTATCGACTGGGACTGTAACGATCCTTTAGAAGCTCTAGTACGGAGTAGGCATTGGAACAACGCTATTGTAGGGCTGAAAAATGATCAATCAACCTTCGATAATCCCAAGTGGGGGGAAAGTATGAACAGGTCCAGTTTTGGTTTTAGTGAAACTCGAAGCTTGACCTCCTACTCCTTTCGCCTTCTTGTTCCATTCCCCTTCAAATATATTGATTATTATACTAAAAGATGACCTCTAGTGCCGGATGTGTTTCAAAATGAAAAGGGGAAGAGAGCTTAGACTGCTTAGTTTGCGACCACGTGATCTGCGGTCATCCAGGCGCCAAGGCATCCACCCCAAGCGCATCGTCACTTGAAACTTTTGAGCTGCGACTTCGATTGCTAAACTGATTACCCCGTTACTATCATTTCTCTCGACTCGACACCCTTCCACCTACGACGGGATCGAACCTTCTCCTCCTTTAAAACAACTTTCAGAACCAGTTAAACTGAGGAAGCTGGTACAAAAACCTTTACATACCACTTTCCAGCAGCTGTTCACCGGCAGTGGTATGTTTTCATCCCCGTCGGGTCTCCCGCGGCATCCTCGTGTTCACCCTCTTGACCCAGGGTTTCTTTCGCGAGGCGCAGGTCGCCATTGTTTGTCATCCCTTTTCTTCTCAACTTGGAGCTTGGGACCTTTTGACTAACTCTGCTTTCGTAGAGAGCACTTTTACTCCCTCCGTTTGTGCCGATAGACTTCATCTGCTGGATGCCCGCCGTACCATAACTTCCATACCATCCCAACCGACGTTTCACCTGAGACTGTCGCTAAGATCTCGTATTGAAAACGCCCCGACCCTTTCCATAGGCCGTCGGACGCATGGACTGATGGTTGGACGAATGTATGCGGTGATGATCGATGGTTTTACTTGACATCAACCCCACCATATATCCGTCCCCCCACGGTTTCGATAAGCCGCCTTTCGCCCTACGAATAATCAGTGTCACTCTTTGGGGATCTAGATGATGATGCGCTTTTCTTTCGAGTCTTAAACATAAGGACCATTGGCAAAGGATCTAACAAAAGCGTATCATCGCAAGTATATTACACCGCGTGGACCCGATTGAGCTTTTGAATGCGTGACTTTGCGCGACCCAGGCAACGTACTATTGCTCCCGTGGTCCGTCAAGTGTCGACACAATGGACGGTCAAAGACAGCAACAGTATGTGCCGGTCCAACCGCCATCCTCAACCCAGCCCTCCCAGTCACACATAATGCTACCGCCGCCTCCGCCTCGATATCAACATCCCCAAGCTCAAGGTGCAATGCCCCCACCACCTCCCGGCCCGCCCCCCGGACCACCCCCCGCAACACCATATGGTGCGCCGAAAATGGGAAACCCCCAGCTACAGCACCAAAATAGTCTTGGTTGGCAGCAGAATTGGCCAGCTAGGCAGGCAATGGCTCAAGGTTTTCTTCCACCTCCGCCTCCGCCCCCTATGGCCCATCCGAATCAGCCGACTTATAGTAGACCAGCCACGTCCGCAACGTACGTCCCACAGGCTGGTTCATTTGGACCAGGTGTTGGAATACCTCCGTTCGATCTGCATTCCATGCATGCGTACGACAGCCAGGGAACCTTGCCGACCGGCGATAGACCACGACTCCCCTCCAACCCTGTTTATGAGCATGGTGGTGGCGGTGCTGACCCCGGTGCTTATAAACGGGACGGAAATGTTCCAAATACGCCTTTGGCCCAACCATCGTCAGCGGGTGTAATCGACAATAGCCATGGCATTGTTTCTCCGGCACAGGGAATGAATGCCGCCCAAAGCCAGCCACCGCAGCCCGTAAACCAACCCACCGAGTTGACAAAGTCGTCCAGTCACCGACACAATAATAACATACTGTTTGGTGGCATGTCGGCCAGCGAAGCTGCAGTACAATGGCCCTTAGAGCGGATCCTGTCCTGGCTTGCAAAGAATGGGTTCTCTAGAGACTGGCAGGAGACGTTCAGGGCTCTAAACTTACAAGGGGCCGACTTCCTGGAGTTGGGACATGGACCGAATGGCCGACCTAACCTGAGCAAAATGCATAATGTTGTATACCCCCAGCTTGCGAAAGCTTGTGGGATCAGCGGGACAGGTTGGGACGAACCGCGCGAACGAGAGGAAGGCCGACGGATGCGAAGGCTGATTCGCCAGATCCAGGATGATGGAAACTACGATGTTGGTTTGCCCTCCTACAAGCGACGCGAGTCCCAAGTATTCCAAGACGGGGTTCTGGATATTTCACCGAAATTGCCCCAAGAGCCTACTTCTGCCGGCCCTGGTGGCAACAGTCCTAGCCTGAAGGCTTCGTTACTGGCTCATCACCAAAAGCAGAATGCCCAGTGGTCTGCCACTACGCCCAATCCTACAAGCCATGACTACCAGAACTCCGAGACTACCCCGAACGAGGGCACAGGGACAGCGCATGGTCGCTCCGACTTCTCCCGAGCCGTGCTCTCTAATATTGAGGGTGACCATCGGAGGCACCCTTCCTTGTCTAGCGATAACGGCATTTTCCCATTCCCTGGCCGTGGATACGAAGATAGTCCGAAAAGCAGCAGCCCGGCTACACACTACCCTAACTATATGGGTGCCTCGTCCTCTGCAAATGATTTGACTATGAAACGAGAGCACTCCCGTGGCAACAGTGCGGATTCAACATCAGGCCGGCGGTATTACGAGAGCTACAAGCAAGAAAGCAGCCGTCTTTCGCCACAAGAAACTCGTCATCCGAATGGAGACAATTCTGTATCGTATCCTCGAGAACATGGCAAAGGGTTCCGGGCACGTTTTATGAAGAAGTCAAAGGCAGGCGACTCCAATCATCCTTCCCCCGAGGAGCTATTCTTGGAGTCCCCAACGAGCCCTCGATACAACACCACTCATCCCTACACTAGACCGAACTTCAACAGCAGTGATGTTTCAGTGGGGGAGCGTCCGTCATCAGCATCCGTGTCCGATCACGAGCGGCTTCCCATGAAAGCAAGACCGGCGCAGAAGGGGAAGAAGTGGGCCTTTGTAACTTTGGACGCGTTCAATTATCGCCTGATTGATATCACTGATATAGATTCAGTGGTCAGGTTGCGTGCGACCATCTGCCAACAGATTGGGATATCTGATTGGCCCGCGGCCCAGATATTCGAAACGGAACCTGGTCAGACTGAACATGATAGTCCCCTCAATGACACAGACTTGACACTATCTCAGAGGACGAAGTCAGACGCCATTGGGTCTTTGAAGCTATATGTACGCGGGCCATACGTCAACTCTGGCGCCCATAATTATGCTGGGCTAGGTGTCTCAATCCCGGAGAAGGCCACAGCCTCGCCAAAGAGAAAGCTTTTGGATGATGACGCTCGAAGCCGAATTTCACCTCTCAACCAATCTAAGCCTACATCTCCCCAATCGACCCTTCGACCACAACAACTAAGGCCGCATGCTGCCAAGGTTCCCGTTCGCGATGTCTCCCAATTGTCGCTCGGAATGTCCCCTGTGGATGGCGGCCCAGAAGCGGCGGCGGCGTCTCTTGATCCAGAAACTGCTGATCTGGCAGCTCGTCAAGAGGAGCACATGCGTGATGTTGAGCGGAAGCAGAAACAAAACCGAATCTCCAATGTTCAACCGCCGAGAAAGGATGCTTACAGCGAAACGGGCTTTAGACGGGAAGGCGTTATTGATTTTGACTCCCCGCGGGTATCCCCTTACGAGGACAAGAAGGCGGAAACCCTCGTGCCTTTCCGCAATCCTCCCACAGCACCGAACGAGTCCAATACTCTCGCCAAGCTTAATTCTCTGAGGAGGAGAGATTCGCAGCGTCCTCGTATACAGCAAGCCCCAGCCCCCCAGACTCAGCAGACCCAGCAGGTTCAGCAAACTCAACAGGCTCAGCAAACTCAACAGGCTCAGCAGACTCACGGGACTCATGGCCTTGGGGCAATGCTGGCCACTGTGGGTAGAATGACCAGTGCCATTGGTACTCCTTCTCCATCGGTTCGAACGGCCAAGGCTAGTGGAAGCTCGAATCACAGCACGCCTGTGAGTGACTCACGAAATGCTGTGCAATTCCCTCAAGAACAGCCCCCATCTGAAAAAGTGTCTCCTGTGGTGAATGATTTTGCTCCTGATGAGCCTAAACCGACGTTGCAGTCTCGAAAGTCGTATGGGCCTGAATTCGATTTTGAAGAGACCAGGGTATCCTTCCAACGGTCACCAATGCTACCGGAGGAATCGGATGATGACTCAGATGATGGGCTTTTTGCAGTCCCTCTAGCAAACAAGAGCACGCCAACAAAGGCTACGGATACCTTCAGTAGCGTGAACTCTCAGAAAACGCCCAGGAAGCCTTCTCTCACTGTGAAGACCGACAATACCGCGCGGAAGAAGTTATCTGTCAGCTTCAGGTCACCAAGCGCTAGCCGCGAGACCTTTGCCCAGTCTAGCGGAGACTCGGGGAATGGCAGGGAGTCGTTATCCGACATGACTGGCTCACCGGAGGATGAGAAACCGCGCCGGGACTCATTTGCTCGTGATGTTTGGGCAAGCCGACCTCCCGTGGAAGGCGTCATTGACCACCTCGACGACTTCTTCCCTGATATCGACCTTGATGCACCTTATCTGGATGGGCAAGGTCCTTCGCCGCCTTCATCACCGGCGAGCAGAGTTGCCGCGGAGAACGAGGCGGCTCATAGAGAGAAACAGGACGGTCCGTCCTACCCAACACCGCCAACTCCTAATGCCGGTGAAAACCCTCTAGGTTCGAATGAACCTACCATGACACCCCAGGACCCTGGTGTCGTTGCTCGACGCAACATTACTCGTTCCAGCGGTGGCGTCGGCGGCGGCGGCGGCGGCGGACTTACGCGGATGAAGTCCATACGAGAAGTTGCCAAAGGAGCGAACCAGTCGAACAGGAACCGTAGCGTTTATGCTCCTGCCGGGAGCCAGAAGTCTGGAGATATTTTGCGCCGGAAGAGTACTAAAATGTTCGGCGGGAGGATCATGCAGATCAGTCCAAAGCCGGGCAGACGACTCAATCGGCTTGATCCCATCCCCCAGAACCGCGCTGCCTCGGGGGGTCCACCTCAAAGACAACCCACTTTTCGTATCATTCGCGGTCAGCTGATCGGCAAGGGCACCTACGGCCGTGTGTTCCTGGGCATGAATGCCGACAACGGTGAGGTGCTAGCTGTCAAGCAAGTGGAGATCAACCCTAGAATTGCGGGACAAGACAGGGATCGAATCAAGGAGATGGTTGCTGCCATGGATCAAGAAATCGACACCATGCAACACCTTGAACACCCCAATATCGTGCAGTACCTCGGCTGCGAACGGGGCGAGCTTTCCATCTCGATCTACCTGGAGTACATTTCTGGTGGTTCCATCGGTAGCTGTCTGCGCAAACACGGCAAGTTCGAGGAGAGCGTTGTCAAGTCTCTCACACGGCAGACGCTGGACGGGCTGTCGTACCTCCACGACCGGGGGATCCTGCATCGTGATCTGAAGGCGGATAACATTCTCCTGGACCTCGACGGATCCTGCAAGATCTCCGACTTCGGCATCTCCAAGAAAACCGACAACATCTACGGCAACGATTCGACCAACTCCATGCAGGGCTCTGTATTCTGGATGGCGCCGGAAGTCATCCACTCCCAGGGCCAGGGCTACAGCGCCAAGGTCGATATCTGGTCTCTTGGCTGCGTGGTGCTAGAGATGTTCGCTGGCCGTCGGCCCTGGAGCCGAGAAGAGGCTATCGGCGCTATTTTCAAGCTCGGCAGTCTGAGTCAAGCTCCTCCCATCCCAGAGGACGTATCGATCAACATCAGTCCGGCGGCACTCGCCTTCATGTACGACTGTTTCACGGTGTAAGTAGTACCCTTGCTGTCTTCATCTCCATTTCTCCAGATTGTGCTAACATACTTCATAATAGTGACTCGCGCGACCGCCCAACCGCCGAAACCCTCCTCACCCGCCACCCGTTCTGCGAACCCGAGCCCAAGTACAACTTTCTGGATACCGAACTATACGCCAAGATTCGCCACGTTGTTATCCCAGCGTGATGTTTTTGATTACCGAGTATTCCATTACTTCCTGTTCTGCGCTTTTGCATCATACCCCCAGAACCTGTCTATATCTTCGTGTAATTACGGCGCCTTGTCGCCAAAGTATATTTGGATTCTTTTCTTTTTGGATATTATTTTTCTTAACCGTCTGGTGTGGTTTTTCTTTTCTCTAATGGGGGTCGCAATTTACTGTCTGGTACATCTCACTATTTATAATCCTGTTTAGAAAATTTGAATATAAATTGAAAAAGGCACGGTGGATTCTGTGCAACCCTAGCAATGCCCTAACACATAATAACTCTATATTAAAAGCATACTCCGCTGGATGGCTTCCTTCAAGTATTTACATCGAGTTTCAAATTCGAAAAAAAGAAAATGGTATCTGTATAAATCTATCTCACGACACTGACCCCTTACCCCCCTTCACCTCCGCTGAGAAATCGGTGTCCCGCTCCTATTCGTAACGGCATCATCGCCATCGTCATCTTCTTGGCCCTGACCATGATCCGAGACGCCGACTAGAAAAACGCTCTCGCACCACTCCGCAAAGGTATCCACGTCCCAGACGGCATCCTCCCGGCCCTTGCCCTTCTTACTAACAAAGTGGCCCCGCTTCTTCTCCGAAGACGTATACTTATCGAAGAACTCCTCGTAGATCTGGATGACGCGGTCCTGGACGGCCCCGACGAGCGTCTCCTTCATGCGCGCGTCGTCGAGGTAGTCGTCGAGGATCTTGCGCAGGTTGGGCACCTCTTTCTCGATGTTGCGGCAGGTGGGGTACATGAGCTCGCCGCGTTGGAGGTTGCGGGTGTCGACGAATTTGGCGGGGAGCGACGCCGTCATGGTCGTTGCGAAGCCGTTGATGAAGTCGTTGATGACTGTGCGGAGGCGGCCGTCGAGCTCGACTTTGGCGTCGAGCATGTTCTCGATGACGCGCGGGAGGAGCCCGTGCCCGACGAGTCGCATGAGGTTGCGGGGGTTGAAGAGGCCGCCTCGTTCGCGCAGTTCCCAGAATGTGCTCGTTACGCCGGAGAAGTCGAAGGAGACTTCCGGGGCGACGTATTCGATGTCGAAGGCGACGATTTGTTGCTTCAGGATGAGGAGGTGGCTCATGAGGAAGAGCTGCGCGTTGATGGGGGATTTCGCGGCGATGAGGGTGCTGGCGTAGTGGAGGGAGTCGGTTGTTTGGTGGACGATTTGGTGGGCGAGATCGTCGAAGACGGTGGACTAATGGACAGTTGGTTAGTGGGGTGTGCAGTTGTAGAAGGGGAGATGGGCATATGGGGACGCAGTACGTTTACAAGGCGATAGATCCTGCTCAGAAGCCAGATGGCTTTCCGTAACGTCGGATACCACCCGCTTAGGGCTGTTTGCGACTCGAAATCCCATTTGGGGTCTTGCTCCTGTGGAGATTCGGAGTTCTCTTCTCCTTGCTTTGACGGCTTGGAAAGATTCACAAGCACGTCAACGGGTGCGATCTTTCTTCCAGATATCTGGTTCTCGCCCTCTGTGACTGCGTTTGCGACTTGCTTGTTGCGGGCAGGGTAGTCAAGGTCATCCGGTCCCGGCTTATATCGTTCGATCTCATCGTAGAGAAAAGCCTGTGCGCGGAAAACGAGCCGTGTTTGGACGTCTTCCAATGCCGGCTGGATCAGCGCAGGGAAGTCGAGTTGGTTTGCATCGGTAGTCTCTGTCTCTTCTTCCTGGTCGAATATGTAGCGGGTCTGCAAGAGGGTACAAAGTTGACAGAGTCTGATAATTTTGTCTTCGTGTATAATCCTTGGTCTGAGGTGGTCGTAGAGAGGTTCACAGATTGACTCCAGAAAGTAATACAAACCTCCCTGACCGTGGAACCACTCTCCCCAGAGGTCGTATTCGTCGAGACACACCCCGCGGATATAGCTGATGCTTCCGCGCGCAAAAGACACGAGATCAGTCGACGTACTGGGCGCCTGTGAAATTTCATGTAGTTGCTTGCGTACAAGCGGCACTATGAGTTTGCTGCGGGTCGCTGCGTAATTGTCCTGAAGCTCATTGAGGAGACTCTGATACTCAGCTTCAGAACCCTGGTCCGGGTCCAACGGCGGCACGGCTCTCTTCTGGATCTCGAGGCCGATCTGTTTCAGTTCGGGGGCGCCAACTCGGAACTTGGCATACAACAAGGCGGACATGGTTGTATCATTAAGCTGCTTGTCTGCGATCTTCTTGGATACGTTGAGATATATGTCGCGAAGGGCGGCGACGAAGTGCCCTCGGATGAGGGTGAGGGCTCGCGTCATGAGAAGACGGTACCTGGACCGGTATACGCTTGCTTCCTTTTGTTCGGGCTAGAAGAAAACATTAGCCATCGCACAGTATACGGGATAGTGACGATTTGACGCACATGCGTTTCCATATAGTCCAGGCATTCGTCCAGTCGCTTGAGCATTTCCGAGAAATCCCGTCCTCGTACGGCATTCCCAGCACCCGGGGCATTAAGCCTTCTTGAAGCAGGATCCAAAAAGTCATAGTATTGCAGATTGTCCTCTATATTGATTGCGAGCTCCAAGTCGCGCCGCTGGGCAGAAAGTAACCCTTCGCATTGTTTCTCGAAATTGGACGTTTGCGAATCGACTGCCTCGAAATCTTTGGACAGACTGCTTAGGAGATCGAGGGTCGAAGAGGTATCGGATAAGAGTGAATCTAAATGGGACTTTGACATCTGCAATTCGTGGAGGCAAGACCTATTGTGTCAGGGAGTTAGCTCTCAGTATATCCTGATCGTCGCGGATGCACGTGGCCCTTGTACTACGTACTGGTACTCATCGTAGCTGGTTTCCAACAAGCTTCCTTCCACCTCGTTGAACCACTGGGTAAAGTCGAGCTCATTGCGAATATTGGATACAGTGTCTAACCCATCTGGGGACTCGTCGAGCTCCTCTGTCTTTTTAGCTTGGAGATCTAGGGGCGGACGGGGAGGAGCTGTCTGGCGACGGCTTCGCTGTCCCGCAGCTTGCTGGCGCATTGTGGGACCGGGTCGGATTTAAAGGGTGAGAGGGTGAGGATTCGCTTTGGGCTTGTGTTGGTGTTCAGAAGTGTAGACCGGCGAGAGTCTGTCCAACTCAAAAGACATTGAAGTCGAGGACAACTCGTAGACCGACCGAATAACGATGATTGTTGACACCTTCCCCAAAGCCGCGCCCTCGGGAACCCGTTCCATTTGCGATATTCTGCCGCCATCCTCCGCTCTCGCGCATTGACGCAACTGATTATTAGTTGGGGTATTCGAAGTTCGCCTTCTTCTCCCCATTCATTTGTCCCTTGTTCTCCGCGAGAACGCAATCAAGTCCACGTCTTATTTAAGGATGCAAACTGAGTGAAATACTAATTACCGTCACCATGTGGACAGCACGAATGCAACGCCCCGCGGCGAATACCGCCAGTGCCTGCCGTCGGCTTCCCAAGCGCGGCCGCCTTACCATAACACCTGCGCGCAGAAATTATGCTCGCCCTACCGATGGCAATCAGACGTTTGAACAGCCTACGTCGTCATCGCACTGGTTCCGCAACTCGTTGGGTTTGGCAGGAGCTGGTACTGCTGCATTTCTCGCCTATTCGTATGCGACATCCAACACCACTCGCATCCAAGGCGCACCGCCATCCAATGCGCAAGATCACTCGAAAACGGCGGACGACTTTCCACTCGTACAAGAGAAACGAAGCGTGAAAAGCCCAGGGGTATACCTGTGGGGAGACAATGCGCATCGTGTGGTGGACCCCGAAAGCAAAGCCACCAACATCAAAACACCACGCAGCCTTCATTATTTCGACGGCCATGTACTGAGGGATATCAAGCTGCAAGAGAAGATGGGAGCTGCGATTCTGGAAAATGGTGACCTTGTGCAATGGGGGAAGGGCTATTCGGAAACGGAGTTCAAGCCCGCCAAGACTCTGACTGGCAAGAACCTGATATCCGTGTGCATGTCCAACGACCGAATCCTGACGCTGTCGTCTGACGGGAACGTATACTCCCTGCCGATGGCGAAGGAAGATCAGTTGGGCGGGAGGAAATTGAAAGAAGGCTCCTGGGTGCCTTACTGGTCTGGCACCGCAGAGGTTAGCTATCGTCTGCTGAAGCCAAGCCTGGGGCTGGGCGAAAAGGTCACCGCCATCAGTGGCGGACTGGAACATGCCCTTCTAATGACCAGCTCTGGCCGAGTCTTCTCTGTTGCTTCTTCTACAGAACACTACCCGTCTTTCGGACAATTGGGGGTTCCTGGGCTGGCATGGGCGACGCGGCCCAAGGGTCCCGTGGATTCCTGTCATGAGGTCAAGGGCTTTGCCGGGTCCAAGATTGTCCAAATCGCAACTGGAGACTACCACTCCCTGGCCTTGAGCAAGGATGGCAGTGTTTACTCTTTCGGCGATAACTCATTTGGGCAGCTAGGGTTCGCATTTGACGCTGCCCTCCCGTTCCACGACACCCCGACCGCAATTCCCGTCAAGAAACTTTATCGTGGCAACACTTGGTTCCCCAAAGTGACCAGCATTGCGGCTGGGGGAGCTAACAGCTTCTTCACGGTGGATGCCAAACGTATCGTCGGCCCGGGTGAAAACCCATCCGCAATCCGCGACTTGGACCGCATCACCGCTGATACCTGGACTTGTGGGAGGGGGATTTGGGGTGCTCTCGGGACTGGAAAGTGGACGCATATTCAGGACGTGCCTGCCAAGATCCAAGCGTTGAGCGGGTTGTTCGAGTACGACGAGCGTGCTAAAAAACTGACCCCAATCCGGTTGCGTGAAATATCCGTTGGCACAACGCACGTGTCTGCCATCATGGACAACAGTGCCCATTTGGAAAGATCGTCCACCGCCTCTTTGGAAAGTTCCAAGGACTGGGGCTTTGATGTCCTCTGGTGGGGAGGGAACGAACACTTCCAGCTCGGAACCGGCAAGAGGACCAACATGTCCAAGCCGACGTATATCAACGCCCCGCTGGAGACAGGAGGGGAACACCCCAAGCAGGAGGCGCGACTTCAGATCATGCCCCGTCACAAGGGCAAAGTTGGCAAGCGGACAGTGAGCATGGAGCAGCGGGTTGAGTGTGGCAGACACGTTTCTGCGATCTACTCTGCCATATAATACTTCACACATATTTGTATTTTTATACGTGTTATGAGCAAAGAAAAGTGCTACTTTCTGCCTTGTACTCTTATCCTAGTTTGAAATAATGGATGTCTTGATGGGAGCTTATCACCGTACAAACAAAACAAACACCGACTATCAGCGGAAGACGCTCGGACCACCGCTTATCCAAAAATTTCCCAGCCGGAAGAAAAAAAAGAAAAAGTTGACCAACAGCCAAGCTTCCACAACAACCCCAACCCCCCCCCTTGACTGTCGCATCATGCCTCGTGAAAATCAGAAAAGAGGTCGGCGTGCGGCCGAGAAAGCCAACAAAGACACCTTGAAGCGCAAGCACGACGACGCGCCCGAGCACTCCCCAAAGCGACAGAAGCCCGAATCAACGGACGATGAGATCACCGGCGGCGCGGACTACATACCACTGGGAGAGGAGATGCAAGTCGATGGAGATGGAGAAGGACACGATCAGATGCAGGGCGGCGACATGCCGTTCTACGGCCTTCTGGACACCGAGGAGCAGGAGTACTTTTCGCGCGCGAACGAGATGCTCGAGCTGGACCAGTTCGGTGACACCGAGGAACGGCGGTTATTTATCGACAGCGTCTACAGGGAGGCTAATGGCAAGGAGCTGAAGATTGCGTGCAGTCAGTCGTGCTCGAGACTGATGGAGAAGTTGATCGCTGCGTCGGACATGCGCCAGATCCGGAGGCTGTTCAATAAGTTCATCGGCCACTTCTTGCACCTGGTGCAGCATCGATTCGCCAGCCACTGCTGCGAAGCGCTCTTTGTGAGCGCGGCGCCGGGGGTAATGGATAAGCCTTCGAAGGCGAAGGCTCGTCGCGATGAGGAGGAGGATGAGGAAGACCCGGAGCCGGAGCTATCGCTCGCAGAGATGTTCATGAAGGTCGTGGAGGAATTGGAGGGGAACTGGGGCTATCTCTTGACCGAACGATTCGCGTCCCACACGATCCGGGTTCTCCTTCTCGTTCTCGGGGGCGAACCGGTTGATGTAACGAGCAACGACTCGGTCGTCGCCAGTCGCAAGAAAGAGCGGGTGGGCGCCAAGATGGAATCCCGGGAAGAAAACGTCGTGGCAGAGAAGAGAAGCGTGCCGGATACCTTCGTGAAGACCTTGAAGAAGATCATCAAGGATATTATAACTGTGCTGGACGATACATATCTGAGAGCGCTGGCGACCCATCCGGTTGGAAACCCGGTTTTGCAGGTGCTGGTGTCTCTGGAGATTTTACACTTTGGCAAGTCTGCCACCAAGGATCCGAATTCGATCATCCGGAAGTTGATCCCCGATGAGGAGTTCAGTGAGGGCAGTGAAGGCACGAGCTTCATTCGCGGCCTGCTCTACGATCCGGTCGGGTCTCGCCTCGTGGAAACCATTGTGCGATGCGTACACGGGAAGCTCTTCAAAAGCTTTTATAGAAACTTCTTCCACGATCAGATCGCCTCACTCGCGCGCAACATTACAGCTGGATATGTTGTCCTCCGGGTCCTGGAACGACTTGGTAAAGATGATCTCAAGGAAGCGGTGGAACGACTGTCCCCTCAAATCCCGAGTCTGATTGAACGGGGCCGGCTAGTTGTGCCCAAGGTATTGATTGAACGGTGTCTGGTTCGTGGAATCGATACAAACACCCTCGCTCGGGCTTTTGAAACGGCCTACGACAAGGACCCGGCCCGCCGACTGAACCAAATCCTTCGACGGGAGAACACTTCCAGCGATGCCGCAAATCAGCCAAACGCAGAGTTCAAGGAGTCGGGGGCTGATCAAGGCCAAGCACCTACTGCCGCCGAGAGGCTCCACGGCTCGCTTCTTGCACAGACAATGTTGACCGCTCGCGGCCCTCTCAGCGGGCTGATCCACTCGAGTCTGCTCGCGCAATCATCCGAGTCGCTCCTCGAGCTAGCCAAGGATCCTACGGCGTCTCGCGTCCTCCAACAAGCAATGACCCTACCCACCTCCACGCCGCAGTTCCGTCGCCAATTTACAACCCGCTTCCAAGGCCATCTCGTGGACCTGGCACTCGACAGCAGCGGCTCACACGTGGTCGATGCGCTGTGGCCGGCCACGAATGACATCTACTTTGTCAAGGAGCGCATGGCGCAAGAACTCTCTCAGCAGGAGATGACGCTCCGGGACTCGTTCGTGGGTCGCGCTGTATGGAAGAACTGGTCGATGGATCTCTACAAGCGGCGACGCAGTGAATGGGGCGCGAAGGCGAAAGGTATCGACCGTGGCGACGGCACTGGAGAACGGCCCAAGTCGAAGATTGAGCTGGCGCGGGCTCGATTTGCGGCAAAGGCTGAGGAGGCCACGAAGGGGGATGGGGCGGCCAAATCGTAGGGTTTGGATGGTGGAAAAAATGCATATCTTTGCTGTATATAATACCTTGTCATGTTAGACTAGTCTAGATCGCATGTAAACAGACGTCTCTGAAATGAATCCCAATGATCTACATTGCATGATCGAACTGTAGGCATGTAGCGGGGCTCACTGCCGCCAACTAAGCCTCTCAAGCATATCTGTACAGGCTCGACCGAATTATTCCAAATATTCCGTCCAATCCAATTGAATCTTGAGGTTATATCAAATCTTTAATAAGATAATCTCACCCTCGGAATCGTGTAGATCATGATGTCAACCCCGCGGTATCTGTCGCCATCGGCGCCGGAATCGGCTGGGCCCACTCCCCATATAACAACCACGAAGAGCATGCATGGACGTACATACTCCCTGCATATTTGATATCATTAGCAATTATCTATACTTGAATTCATCTTTATACCGAGAAGTTTTCTCTGGTAATACCAATGGCTACCCCTGCGCAAGCCAGTCGCGCGGACGAAGTTCGCAATGTGAGTCTTCTTTTTGCTCTTTTTTTTTTCTTCGCTTTTCCTTCCTGTTAAAATCGCTGCATGAGGCCAACAGTATTCTCACTACGCCCACTATAGCTTCTCAATGCAGTCGAGGACCTCCTGATCCCTTTCATCCGCGCCGCAGATGAAGAGCCCCTCAGTCAAAAACACCTTCAAAATGGTACCAATGGCACCAATGGCACAAATGGCACCAACGGCACCCATTCCGAACCAACCACTTCACTCGTCGATTATCGCAAACCAGAAGAACTGCAGAAACTACTCCAACTAGAGTTTCCGGAAGAGGGAACAGGCCAGGACGGACTGATCGGAGCCCTCCAGAAAGTCCTCCGCTACTCCGTCAACACCTGGCACCAGGGCTTCCTCGACAAGCTGTATGCGTCGACGAACGCCCCCGGTGTCGCCTCGGAGCTGATCCTCGCGGCCCTCAACACCAATGTGCACGTCTATCAAGTGTCGCCGGCGTTGTCGATCATCGAGAAATACACTGGGAAGCAGTTAGCAGCGCTGTTCGGGCTTCAAGGCCCTCGCGCAGGCGGAATCTCGGTCCAGGGCGGCTCCGCATCCAACACGACGTCGATTGTCATCGCGCGCAACAACCTCTTCCCGGACACCAAGAAGGACGGAAATGGCGGATACCGCTTTGTGCTCTTCACAAGCGCTCACGGCCACTACAGCATTGAGAAGGCGGCGCAAATGCTCGGGCTCGGAAGCAGTGCCGTCTGGGCGGTTCCCGTCGACAGACAAGGCCGGATGATCGCTTCGGAACTAGAGTCGCTCGTCCAGAAGGCGCTGAGCGAAAATCGCACGCCTTTCTACGTCAACGCCACCGCCGGAACGACCGTCATGGGGTCCTTCGATCCCTTCGACGACATCGCCGCCATCTGCAAGAAATATAACCTCTGGCTCCACGTCGACGGCTCCTGGGGCGGCTCCTTCGCCTTCTCGGAGCGCCAGCGCGGCAAGCTCGCCGGCACGGAAAAGGCAGACAGTATCGCTATCAACCCGCACAAGATGATCGGTGTCCCGGTGACATGTTCGTTCCTCCTAGCCGCCGACCTCCGTCGGTTCCACCAGGCGAACACCCTCCCCGCCGGGTACCTCTTCCACAACGACGACGATGACGAAGGCACCAACGCACCAGAGTCCGAAATCGCCGTCGACTCCCCCGAAGTGTGGGACCTGGCGGACCTCACTCTCCAATGCGGCCGACGCGCCGACTCCCTCAAACTTTTCCTCGGCTGGACCTACTACGGCACGGCCGGCTACGCCCAGCAAATCGACACAGCCTGCGCAGTCGCGGCCCACCTCGCGACGCTCGTCGAACAAAACCCGAACTTCATCCTCGTCAGCGAGAACCCGCCGCCGTGCCTGCAAGTGTGCTTCTACTACGCGCCAGGCCGGCAAATGGTCCATCCGCGCGGGGTAGTCTCCAACGAGACGGCGCGCGGCAAGGCGAACAGCAAGGTGACGGAGCGGATCACGCACGCTATCGTGAGTAGGGGCTTCATGGTGGATTTTGCGCCCCCGTCGGGCGGCGAGGATCCCGATGCTGCTGGGAATGGGAAGTTTTTCCGGTGTGTGGCTAATGTGCAGACGAAGATGGAGACTGTTGAGGCGCTTGTTAGGGCTATTGAGGAGGTTGGGCCTGGGGTTGTGCAGGATTTGAATCAGGCGCAGGGGAGTGGCCTGAACGGTTGGAAGAGGCCTGGGGAAAGGGGCCACGGACCTGTTGTTCATCATCGGGTCTGAGGGGTTTTTTTTTCTTCAATTGTATTGATTGGATAGAGTGTATAGTCTCGCATAGAGTATAATGTCTAGCATTATGAGTTTCTGTACAGCTAGGGTTTCTTCGTTAATGTGGTATTGAGAACGAGAAGAATGTAGAAAATAACTTATTAGATATTCTAGGACGTTACAAATGACATATCAAAACAGTTACTCGCTTCGATGGTATCTTGCATCTATGGCTAGCTCTTAGCATGAGGTAAAAATGTATAAGATAGACCAACAACTAAGCAAAACCCAATTAAACCATTAGTGATATGGAGAGCCCAAGTAAATGCTTCAAAACGGATGAATTATAGAGATCGCCAATTAAAAAGTAAAATAAACATACGAGATGCACGTTGGCACGTCAGTAGATGTCTAATTTCCAATCTCGGCTCTCCTCTCGAGCACACTTCTGGCCTCTGCCTCCATCAGAGTTTCAATGCCCATCTCAGCCAGTACGTCTCGCGCACTTTCATTGTCTTTGAAGAGCCGCTTCTCCACCTCCCACAGACCCCGCTGTGCGCTGTCATCCCCGTCCGTTTCGGGGTTGGACGCGTCGCCGGTTGACTGGGTAGTGCTGTCCAGCCCGAGCAAGAGGAGACCTTCGCTCAATTTCCGGAGCGTTTTGGCAGAGCCGCCCTGTTGGCCTGCCGCTCCAAGAGATGTATCAATTGTCTTGCAGAGGTGGTCCACATCGCTGATGAGCTGGGCCGCCCCCGCGGCGGAGAAAGTGTTGCGCATGAGAATGTTACTCCAGAGGTGTGTCTGGATAGATAAGAGCACTTGGCGGGTGATCCGGCGCAGGGGGGCAACACCCAGCGCACGGGAGAGGAAGGATACTTCGACGGAGAGTGTGTGCAGCGCTGGCGCGAGGTCGGCAGTGGGTGGGAGAAGCCCCGTTGCCGCGCCCGAGATAGTCGCCCAGGTGGAAACGCGCGAGTATTGTTTGAGGGCCCCGCGAGCATTGGATGTGAGCGTCGAGGTGATGATAGTTTCGGACCGGAGGCGGAGACTGCGATACGCGGAGGCAGTCTCGTCGAACAGAGCTCCCTCGGGGGTTACACCTTGAGCAGTGTTGTTGCCGTTCACCGCTTGCGAGGTCCGCGAGGCAACGTCGGCGACGGACATGGAACCGGCCACGTTCTGTCCGTTGTCTTTGTTCTGTCGGACACGCTCCTGCAGCTCCGACCAAAGCTCAACGAAAAACACCTCGTTGCTCCAGTCTTCCATCTTCTTTTCCAGGTATTCTGCGCTACCGAAAACGCGGCAGAGCCGCTCCAATCCCCCAACACCTTCTATGGCTTGGCCGTCCGCGCCCTGCACGGTGCGACCGATCGTAGAGGTCATCGCGAGATAAGCTTCCAGGGCCGATTGCAGGCGGTCGTGGAATTGGTCAAAGATCGTAATCTGGATGTCGATGAGAAATCGCAGTTTCTGACTGAATGATGACAAGGGCTGATAACGCTCAGTGATCGTCTCGAGGAGGTCATTCACACGAATTGCTGCCTTAGTCGGCTTGGTCGAAGTAAGTTCAACGCCTTCATAGTCGATCTCCCCGCTCCCCGGGGCTTCGACGATCTCCTTGTAACGAGCCAACGCAAAATCCTTTTCGACTTGGAGCCAGCGGTCAAACCAGCCTTCTTTAGTCAGGACATACCACGTCATCCCCTTCCAGTTGTCTTCTGTATAAGGATCGGGCAGGTAGTTCCACGACTCGCGGATTTCCTCGTCAAAATTCATAACCTCATGCATGAAGTGACTGAGCAACTGCGGGTGGTTAGAGATCTGCGGGAGGAAGGCTGACATCTTCTGCTGCAACATGGGCAACAGAGCCGTGATGTAGGCATGGGATGCATTGTAGAAGTTCCATTCTAATTCAGAACCAGTGTCGTGTGCTTTCTCATCAAATATAGGCTGGAGATATGTAGCGAAGAAACTGCCAAAGTTGTTGATCAAGTCCGTGACATGAGCCATAAAGAACTCCGGCTAAACATCTATCAGCATAATCATGTTGAACGCATAAAGGCGATCGCTCACAAACCTTGTCTAATCTATTCGTTGGCTTGTCTCCACTGAAATGATACTTAAACCGCAGCTCCAGAGGATGTACCATCACCTCCAATGGCCACAGTATCGGAGGTTCAACACTCTTGTTGTTTGCAAAGAAATCGCGTGCTTTGAGTTCCCTGTACATAGGGGTCAGAAAAGTCATCTGGTTGAACCCTGTAGTACTTACGGTATTTGGAGCTCAAGGAGCAATTCGACATTTTCCTTCCATTGAACGTGGAGATCGTCCGGGAAGTGCAATTCTTTCGAGGGCCACTTCATCTGTTCCAAAGTCCCTTGGAGTCGCTTGGTAAAATCGGTCTTCATCTGTTCTCGGAGCGCAGACGCTAACTTGCCAACATAATTGACCAGATGAGGCGCGGCTCCCTCCGCCGCAGGCTGGGCCTCGTTCAACGACCCGACAATGCCTTGCAATCGAATATACGGCGGTATAGCCAACCGTGGCTCAGACCGTATATTCCCCAGCGCATCCTTGCTGTATATGGTGCGTTAGCGATAGCATCATGAATGGTCTCGCCGTGCACCGGGTACCTCAATTTCTCCGCCTCCTGCAGCAGGGCCACATAGCCTTTCGAAATCTCCAGTTTCCGAAGTTTTTGGATGCTCTCCTCAAAGCGCTGTGCTGCCTGATCACTGGCATCCGACCGCGTAATAGCTTTAAGGCGCCTATCGATATCCGCTTGTTGGGCCTTGAAGGCTTCGGCTCGCTTCCGGGTCGCTTCGGTGTGTTCGTTCGAGGCTTTCGTAGCGTTTGACAGGGCCTCCTGGGCTTCAGCTAGCTGCGGAATGTCATTAGCAACTTCTGGCTCTAACTTTGGTCTAACCTTCAATTCAAGGCGAAGGGGTCCTCACCTGTTTCCGCTGGAGATCATGTTGGGCCCGCAAGCTAGACAGCAACGAGTCGAGGCTTTCAAAGTCGCCAGAGACCTGGATTTTATCATTTAAATAGTCCTCCACACGAGTTCGCTCATGCGACGATAATGCGGGGGGAGCGGTCGCCATTATTCGCGGGGATGGACGGCGGGGGTCGAATAATCCAGAAGATGATGACTAGGTGGAGGGAGAAGCACAAGGTGTCGCGATCCACGCCGCCTTGCCAAAAGCGGGAAGCTCCGTCGCAACAAACGTCACCGCCGCTGCCCAACTGTTTTGTCTATCAGCATCATGCGTCAGGGCGCATTTGCCAACACTCTCGATTATGATCTACTCGTCAAAGATCTATTTCTGATCCCTGATCATGCCCAGTCCCGCCAAAAAGCGCAAGAGAGATCATCTTGACTCCTCCCCGCAAAAGGCCCGGAGTATAGCGTCATTCTTCAAGGGCCAAGCCTCCAAGGAAGTTGAGAAAACCAAAACATCTACGAACTCCGATGTGACAAATCAGACAGAAGAGATACTGTCTGATGAAGCTCTAGCCCGAAAGCTTCAAGCAGAATGGAACCAACAAGATGTGACAATACAATCGGAAGCGGAGAAGACGCCCCCTTCACCTAGTGAGGCGCCGGAGACCCCAGAGCGCGGACACGATCCACAGCGTCCCCCAAATGTACTATCGAAGAATATTCTTTCGTTGCAGTCGTCTTCTGGCGCGGAGGATACTGTTTCCCTTTCGATTCCTTTCGACCAAAGCCCCTTGACATTCGACTCAAGAAAATACGCCGATGAATTGCGGAAACACTGGGCTACGTCGGGCGGCGATGCTTCGTATGCGCTCCTGACGAGGGCTTTTATTCTTGCCAATGCAACAAGCAGTCGCATTAAAATAGTCGATACGCTGGTCAACTTCCTCCGCGTCCTCATAGAAAGCGATCCGTCGAGTGTTCTTCCTGCGGTGTGGCTAGCAACCAACTCAATCTCACCTCCGTACGATGAAATGGAACTAGGACTCGGCGGTTCCTCGATATCGAAAGGTCTCAAGAAGATATACGGGCTTAACAGCCAGGGACTCAAGTCTCTATATGATAAGCTTGGAGACGCAGGCGACGTGGCGTTCGAAGCCAAGAAGAGGCAAAGCCTGACGCTGGTAAAACCCAAGCCACTCAGAATTAAGGGCGTTTATCAGTCACTCCAGAAGATTGCCGCGAGCAAAGGCCCGGGAAGCCAGGAAAACAAACAACGGATCGTTGAAAAGTTGCTCCAGGATACGCGTGGTGCGGAGGAGAGTCGGTATATTGTCCGCACTCTGGTCCAGAATCTGCGGATCGGTGCGGTGAAGACTACCATGCTCATCGCGCTGGCTAGAGCCTGTCTATTCTCAAAGCCTGAGGATGGCGAGTTTACTCCATATTCCCTTCAAGAATTTTCACGTCTTAAGAAGGAGGAACTTGCGGGGATCTACAGCAATGCGGAGGAAATTGTCAAGTCATCCTACGCCAGACACCCAAACTACAACGACCTTGTTCCTTGTCTACTAGAGATCGGAGTCACCGAGGAACTGCTTTTGCGATGTGGACTGCAGCTGCACATTCCACTCAGACCAATGCTCGGCAATATCACACGAGACCTGTCAGAAATGCTCACAAAGCTGCAAGGGCGAGATTTCAGCTGCGAGTTCAAGTACGATGGCCAGCGCGCGCAAGTTCACTGCGACGAGCAAGGGAAGGTATCAATATTCTCCCGCCACCTCGAGAACATGACGGAGAAATACCCAGACCTCGTGTCTCTAGTCCCCGAGATCCGGGGCGAAAGCGTATCCAGTTTCATCCTAGAAGGAGAAGTCGTCGCAGTCGACCAAGAAACCGGCGATCTGCAATCTTTTCAAACCTTGACAAACCGCGCAAAAAAGAACGTCGACGTAGGCAGCATCAAAGTCAACGTCTGCCTTTTCGCATTCGACCTGATGTACCTAAACGGGGAGCCTCTCCTAAACCGATGCTTCCGCGAGCGCCGAGAGCTCCTCCGCAGTTTATTCGTGGGAATCCCCAACCGCTTCACCTGGGTCAAGAGCCTCGACGCAACGTCAGCCGATTCCGACTCCGTCCTCGAGTTCTTCAAAAGCGCAACAGACGCCAAATGCGAAGGCATCATGGTCAAAGTCCTCGACAACACACCCATCGCCGCCCCTAGCAAGAACAACCAAGAAACAAACCCAGTCCCAAGCACAGACACCCCCAACAGCGCCACCACCAGCCGACGAAAAGCCCTCCTCTCAACCTACGAGCCTGACAAACGCATGGACTCCTGGCTCAAGGTCAAAAAAGACTACAGCACCTCCTCCGAAACCCTCGACCTCATCCCAATAGCAGGGTGGCACGGCCAAGGCCGCAAAACCAAATGGTGGTCCCCGATCCTCCTCGCCGTCCGCAACGCCGAAACAGGCGCCCTCGAAGCCGTCACAAAATGCATGTCCGGCTTCACAGACAAGTTCTACCAGTCCAACAGGGAGAAATACAACCCCGACGCCGGCGGCGTCAACGTCATCTCACGGCCCAGCTACGTCGAGTACTACGGCGAGCAGCCAGACGTGTGGTTCGAGCCGCAGGAGGTGTGGGAGATGGCGTTCGCGGACATCACGCTCAGTCCGACGTACTCGGCTGCGATTGGGCTGGTCAGCGACGAGAGGGGGCTCAGTCTGCGGTTTCCGCGGTTTTTGAAGGTCCGCGAGGATAAGTCGCTTGAGGAGGCGACGACGGGGGATTATCTGGCGCTGCTTTGGCGGAAGCAGGCGGAGAAAGCGGTTCTTGAAGGTGACGAAGATCCGGCTTCTGAGATGCCGCCGGCATAGATCGAGCGTGGAGATGGATAATCTAGGAGGATCTTTCTGGTTAACTATGCAGCATGGTCTACAACTTAACTCTACCTACCTATTGTGAGACACGGGGTGGCATGACCCCGCGGGCGCTGGCAGAAGGATTGCTGGCTTAATCAGGTTCTTATACAATAAAAGACTAATATTAATGAGGGAATCCGAGCATATATAGGCAGGATCAACATGAGAATTGTGAAGACAGATATAGTAGAGGATCTAGGTTCTCTAGAACCACATTATCACTTGTGTATCTCGTCTCTTTCATATCCTCTTCATAATCAACATTACTATAATTAGGATTCCTTATTATTGTTGTTACTATCATTGTTTCTTCTTTTTCATCGTTGGGAAAGGTGATTTAGCCATGTATGAAACAGTGGGCAGACGAGAACGACACCTCAGGCACCTATTTACCTAAAGTGGCTAAAAGTGCTCCTCGTCAATTGGTCGGTTAGCGTAGGGCCGGCGCATGTAACCATACCGCTTCCGGACTAGCGCGAGCGCGAAATAGACACGAATTAGAGTTTGACGCGTCGGGTGTCGCGTGTTGTTTTTGTCTGGCTTATTATTTTTGGCTATTTTGCCCATCCGTGCGGGGTAAGCTTGATTAACTGATTAAATGCTATACAACTGTGATGGGACTCCACATGGAAAACTAGTTGGTGAAGGTAGAGTTTGGATGGTATATATTCTTCAATAGAGGTGACGCTCGTGCATATACAGCTAGCTTGACCGCGTCAGAGCGATTCGGTTTCAAGATTCTTTGCCACAAATGAAAAGATGGGGATATGACGGAAAGAATAGAAAACAGGGAATGCCGAACACGGGCGGTGGGCTAGAGGTGTCATACAAAAGAAAGGTTATGCAAAAGTCGGGGATTGACATAAGAAAGATGTATGGACAAATACCAAGGCCGCCGCCGCAGGAGGAATTAACACAAGGGATGGCAGGGTATGGGGAAGTGAGGGGTAGAGCGGCAGGGAACAGGGTGATCTGGTGTGTGCACATAACGGTCATTAAACTTGGTAATCGTAAGATGGGACAAGGGAAAGGATGATTGAGAGTCGGGTCATGATGTTTTTTTCAAGGACGGAGTTCTCCACCAAGTTGCAAGAGGAGACCCGACGCTCTCGCTCGGCTCTTGGGGCTGTCTGCACCAGGAGGTAACAGGGTGTCAAAGTTCGACCGCCGCCTATCTTTTGCTGCAAGAGGGGTGCGTGCCGCGCCTCCGGGCGTACGGCCACCCCAGGGTGCTTGAGCAGGGCTCGGGGTGACGTTGACAAAATCTGCAAAATTGAACTGCTGATTGGGAGTGCTGAAATTTGGGAAGAGACTGCCGCCCCCGGGAGTTGGCGTGAGCGACGGTAGCATGGCATGCTGACTTGGAGGAGTTGATGGAGGGAAGTCTCGCGCGTGGGTCTTGTTGGCAACGCTGGCCGGGGTGGGCGAATTGGCCAGATACAGGAGCAGATCAGCTCCGTCATCATGCCGCAAGGTCCGTTCGTTCCGCGACGAGCGAGCGTGTTTTGGTGGAGGAGTACGAGGCGGCGAGGAGCCCACCATCGAGCTCACATGTTGAAAACTATGAACAGGAAGATCCGGGTCGTTTTCGTCGTCCGAATAGGGATTGTGGGCCGGAGAGGAAAATTCGGGGATCGGGGCCGTCTCAGAGATGAGGGGCAAATGTCGTTGGCGATGTCCCATCTGCCGGTTGAAGCCAGGTGACGACTCGGGGAGTTGGTATGAACTTTTCCAAGAGACCCGAGGAGCTTTTGCTGGACGATCCGTGATCGAGTCCGACCGGAGACGTTTTCGGCCGGCCGACAGCATTGGCTGCATCACCTTGGAATCGAACGTGGCTGCATGTCTATTCCGTGATGATCGGGGCAATTCCTTCGAGTAGGTCGCAGTTCGCAAGGGAGGGGACGTCAGAGGAGTCTCGCAACGGCTATGGGATATTTCGGACGAGGAATCCGACGGTTTGTCGCTCCCTACGAGGAGGGAACGACCACCGGAGTGATCGAGGGACTGGAGACGGCCATTCTGGTACTTGACTTTGGCGAGACCGAGACGATCTTGGAGGCTGAGGGATACCTATGATGGAGCCACTGGTTAGAGATTTTTCTTTTTTGATTTTATTTTTGATTCTTCGTCTGTGCATCCATTTCAGGCCAACCCCATGTGCTAGGGATGGAAGGATTGGGGCACGAAAATCTATCCACAGGAAGGGGGGCACAGTCATGGAAATACCTGAGCAATATCGATTTTGCGAATGGTCTTCTCCGAGTTGGGTGGCTGAGGAAGAGCCATCGCTGGAGGTCAGTGAACAGCAGGAACCGAAGGGCTATCACCAAGTGGTCCGGGGGGGATCAGGTAGGATCATAAACAACAGTGGGTAAACGTCAAAAGCAGAATGCAGCCCAGAAGAAGCTTGGTCATAGACCAGAGAGGAGCAAGGGCGGCTGGAAAGCGGAGATGAAGGGGAGGAACTCGAGGAGTGGGAAGAGAAAGACCAAATGATTGGAGAATGAGGAGTGGATGAATTGGACGGGCTGAACGAGAGAGCGAACTAACAGCTCAGGTCGTGTGTGCTGGGTCCAACCAAGCCAGGTCTGGTTTAGGGGGAAAAATCGGTAAAATTGAAGTTAAGAACTGGAAGGTCCGAATGGATCGATTCGAATTGCAGAAGTCGTAAAAATGGAAAATGGAAAATGGAAAATGGAAAATGAAAACTCGAGATTGCTCTCCGGGGAACCGAAGGGATCAAGGTTCAAAGGGAATGAATGTATGTATCATGAAAACCGATTTGGAAGATATAGAGAATGAAGAGCATGAATATGCCATAAAAAATACCTACAATATGAACCTAGAGAATAGCGATTTGATTTTATTCTATTTTGCTTGCTTAATGATTGATTGTTCTTTCTATTCAATTCAAAAAAAAAACCAGCTGAAAGCCTAAAGATGCCTGAACTGGTTCTGTCCGGATACGACTAGTTTGAATCCATCCCTACTTTGACCATTGCGCACAGTATCCATGGTTACCTACCGACCTGCTTTTCTATTGATCACTTTCCCCTTGATTAACGATATTCCATCCTCTGTTCATTGTCTTGCCCAGATTCCGTGGACAATCCAGTCAATACGAGTGTACGGACTGAAGATAGCCCAGGCGTCCGAGGTATCTGTGCGTTGTACTCCATACACTGTAACTAGGTATACTTGGCCCAATAATACAACTTTAAGGGTCAGAACTTAGCAATCAGCCGGTCAACTCCGGTCACCCAGAACAAATCGACCTAATGCCATTCCGTACTAATCACGGGGATTCCGGTCCATCCAGATCCAGCCCTGACCAGCAGCCGGAACGAGGATAGATGAAAGATGAACCGGTTGATGCTGGATTCCAAAGGACTGGACGCTAGTGAGGGATCTGGCCCGAAAGCCACCAGCATACCTTATCTCTGCTATTGCTGGCCCTGCCGACCGGTGGAATCTGGGATCTACAGAGGCGAGATCTCCTTCGTGGTGGACGGTTTCAGAACAGGAATCATGCAATCCTAATGTGAGCTCTCCTGGACAACGGGAGAGACTGAACTATGTCATCGTGCAGCTGTGATGGCTAAAGTGTGTGTCCCGACGGAGACAGTGATATGTCGACCCCCTTTCGAATCCTGAGTTCAGCCTCAAGAACTTCCGCAATCGAGTCAGTCAACGAAGTGGACACCTCCCTTGCTAATTAATTGAACTTCTGGATACGTCGACCGGTTTGACACTCTTACCGAGATCTCATGTCGGGATTCCAGTAACCCCACCGCAAATAAGAAAGTCCCATTCCATAGTATGGCAAGGTTCGAGTTCCTACTCTTCTTCATACGTGACAAAAGCACTGAGGTCTTAACTGTACATTATGGACGAACGGCCAAGAGTTCAATTCTTTTTGAGTTTTGCCCTGTTCAAATCTCGGCTTCTCGTCGATCGGGCAACTTTCCAGAGTGGGGTCTTCCAAACCCACTCTCAGGGATGAAAGGGAATCAGGAAGAACCGGAAAGGAAGAAAACACAGGCACGACGAAAGAAGAGACAGGAGGAAACCAGGGCCCGTTATCAAGGATCATTCAAGCCCCGTTGAATGAAGGGAACCCAGGAAGCGACTCCCTCCATAAGCAAGAATGAGGTGGCCAAGAGATAAGCTCGTCACGAACAATCCAGTCTAGCCAAGAATGTGTGTCTCGTATCTACCTCCACTATCCGCACACGCTGTCCAGAGACTCCAGATAAGTTTTCGGGAGAGATCTCTGATCGGCTTGAACATGTCAGGACAAAAGAAAAGAACAGAAAGAATACAATAAAAAGAAAAAAGAACGAAAGACAAAAAAAAAAAGAAACGACGAATGGCCATGGAGTGGCAGCCTGCGTCAGTGGCACCCATACCGCAGGGACCCAGAACAGAGACAAATATAGTAAAAGCATGAGACCCGGTCGATCCACCCTCACCTTACTGGTGAAACACTGAAACTAGGCGCGTTTATCTTGATCCTGCTGTTGGTCAGCGGCCAGTGGCATTTGGCATACGTAACGCACCCTTGTCTATTCGCAACAACAGGCAGTGCAACAGAACACAGGGAACACTGGTTTGACCCACCTCAGTCATCGTCGTCGCAGAGAGCTGTCCAAAATGGGCTGGGTTGGTTGCATTCTCTGTCCATTGGAGGCAGGAATGGGCTGGCTGGGCCTTCTTTCGCTCGATCTGCTCCCTACCACCTGTACATAAGGTATATTTCCATCTCTCGGTCTGATTCTTCAGAACGATGCGAATCATACCAATGAGAGCATCCACCATGAGCCGTGAAAGCCACCCATCCACCGCCTAAAGCTTGGTTCTGGTTATCTCATATCGGATTCCAACGAAGCTTGCTGCAAATCAGACAGACTAAGTCTAGTACCTCGAACTAGTCGCCCATCGGATCTTTTGGCGGGTCGGACATCCTCCTGAATCCTTTCTTCATTTTCCCTTTGGTTTGATTTTATTTTATCGTGTGTGTCCACTCTGGAGGTCCGACCTCCTTTTTTCCTGAAAGAAGTTTCTATCCTGCGATGTGTGATGTCTCTTTCCTTCTTCCTTCAATCGACCTCTAGTTCCTCTCAGTGATCGACCTTAACCTTGGGTTCCTGAAAAAATTGGACGTGATTGCGGGGGGAAGTTGAGCTGGATGATCGGTGGTTATTCCAATAAGAAGCATCCATCCGCAAACGGTCGCCTGTCCAGACCTGTCGACGTCGGCGTATTGCGCCAACCTACTCTGTCTGGCCTTCCTTACCTCAGCTTTGCCTCTCCGAACAACAATCAGCCGCTGAGTTGGCCCATCGCTGTCTCTCCTCTTTCCCTGTCCCCTTCCCACTTCTTCTTCTTCTTCTCTTTTTCTTTATATTATCTTGTTTCTTTCTTTTCAACTACCCTTGTCGTTCGTTTTCTCTGCGTCACTTTCTTTGGTTTGTTGGAGTGAGAAGGAAGGCTACTTACTATACGACCCGCTTACCACCTATATACTTCGCAACTTCCCAATTAAGCTCGGCTTGTATACCGATCGCTTTCGCTTGCTATCCTCCCCATCACTACGGTCGCTTCTCTTCTACTACAACATTATCCCTCACAACTGATCCGGTTCAAAGATCATGACGTTCTTCAAGCAGCTGCGGCGTTCCAGACCGAGCTTTCGCACCACCAAGTCCGAGGAGTCGAAATCCAACGAATCTCATTCCAATGGTGAGATGACGTCGGGGCAGTCGTCGACCACCCTCGATACTTCCTCCTACAGCTCGGTGACCCCACCTTCCTCCATCAAACCCGATCGCTCGTCCCCAAACCTCCCGGCGCTTAATGAGTGCAACGACAACAATGCCAATGGCACAGACCCCCCGGCAGTCCCTCAACGTCCTCCACTCCACACGACTCAGATGAAACGAAATAGCGTTGTGGTATGTGATCCCGATCGTCTCTGCTTCTTGTATCTTCCCGTACTGATCGGTGTCGGTTTCAATAGAGCGGTAGCGTAATGTCGTCCAATGGTGCTAGCCGATCGCCCTCGTCATCTTCACCGTATGCCCCCAGGATTATCTCCATCTCGGACGGCTCGTGGGTAGGTTCTCGGCCCTTGCTATCCGTCCTGGCCTCTGGCATCTCGGTTCGATCAGCATGGGAGTGTGATGGGAATGGAGCTGACGATGGTCGTTTCACAGGTACACCAGAAAGTGCTATTGCTCTACGGTCAAACCGGAGACCCCAGGCACCATCCGCTGGACGGAACCGTAACCGCCTATCACCACCAGGATAACTTCCCATCTGTCAGCTGGCCTGTCACCGCATCACATTTCAAGGCGCTCGTTCATCTGGTGCCGGGTCCTAATCGATTACGTTTCGACTTTGTGTCAACCAAACTGTCCTCGGGGAGTGCACATCCGGCGATCCATTCCTCGTGGATCTGCATCAACTATCTCCCGTTGGACAGTGCTCCTCCACTGCACCTGGTTGTCTTGCTTGGGAAGGACTCGGAGGGAACCTTCGATGCGCCCCCGGAAAAGACGCAGAGGGAGGGACGTGGCCTGGACACTGCCATTCGGAAATATCGCACGGCAGCGTATTTGTGGCAGGCATTTACCGGCGAACAAATGTTCCGCAACAACCTTGGACGGCGCTGTTTCCGTTTCGAAGAGGAGTGGCAGACCGGAACCCTCAGCCGTCGAGATACGGCTAACGGGCAGATGCGGAACGAGGCGAAGGTCCACGTTGTTCGCACGGAGAAGACCGTAGCGGAGCTCCGGGATCTCAACATTGCGCAACAATATGGCCCGGCCACACAAAAGAATGAATTATTCAAGATCGCCAGGGATGCGGTGCGGAACCACTTCCGGCCTCAACCGGGCCAGAAGCAGTATGTTTCCGTTTTACTGCTCGACTCGCACTGGGACACGGGGTCCCAAACCATCACCGGTCATGCCGCGTTAGGATCAGATGGCGGCGACATCAAGATGGCGATCTTCGGTTCCCACAGCCTCCAGAGCTACCCTTGCAGCCTGGAGGAAGTGGTCGATGCCTTCTCGGACTGCAGTCGAACCAATACGGACTTCGTGGCGAATGACTGCGGGGAAGCGGGGTCCAACTGGGAGGCTGCAAACATCGGCATTGGAGCCCACCTGCATGAGGTCGGCCATCTCTTCGGATGTCCGCACCAAGAGTCGGGCATTATGCTTCGCGACTATGTCCGGTTCAATCGGTCCTTCACCACCCGCGAGCCCTTCTCAACCCGGACCAAGGCCCAAGGGCTGAAACTTGCCCTGCCGCAAGATGAATGCTCTTGGCACCGTCTAGATGTCTTGCGGTTCCGCTTCCACCCCTGTTTCCGCCTTCCCACCGACGCGCCGGTGAGCTCGGACGGCAGCGTTCAAGTCTGGCCTGTTGAGAATGGGAAAATCCTCATCACCGCCTCATCTGGGATTGCCTTCCTGGAGCTGTACGCGGAGGGTGACCAGGTTTGCCGCAGTTTTGTTGAGTATCTCAACACGGAATCGAGCCCCAACGGACTCCCGAAACAGGTCACCGTCACGGAGAGCGAACTACGCCAGCGGGTGTTTGGCGGGGAACGCGAAAAGAAGAAGCAGGTCAAGATGACCATCTTCTCAGGGGCCCTTGGCAGCCATACCGTGAATGCTTTGAGCGACCTGAAATCGAAGCGATCGGTCGTGAAGCTTCCCAAGGGCCATACCGGGTACAAGAGTAGTCAACTCGGCTTTTCGCAGATGGAAGGCAGCCACCCGGAACAGGTCATCCTGGACAGTGCCTTCGTGTCCACCAAGCTATTGACCTCCATCAAGGTTTACCACGGTGCGTCGTTGGATGGGTTAGAATTTTTCTACGAAGATGCTACAAGTCAGCTTTTTGGGGGACGAGGAGGAAAGCCTGGTGGGGACGAGTTTGTGCTCGACACACGGCGGGGTGAAATCTTGCTTGGCTTCTACGTCCGGGCCGGTGCTTGGATCGACGGGATTGAGATTTTGACCAGCCTGGGGAGGAAATCAGGGATCTATGGTAACGCCCATGGAGGCTCGGGGTATGTTTGATGCATTTGCCACGCTTCTTGCTGTCCCTCCATTCTAACGTGATTTTTCAGACACACATTGATCCCGCCTTTGGGGTATAAAGTGGCCGGGGTTTCCGGATCCTGTGGCCCATGGGTGGACGGGTTCTCACTAATAATTTCACACTGATTGATTTCAGTCGTGACTTCGAATCTTTAGGCGCGGGATTCTTGTCGCTAATAGTTTACACACACGGCACCGACGTTGTTGACGCCCAGATCATGGTATGAGAAATCAGAATCGCCGAGTACGATTTCCTGTGGACGGACACCAGCATATTGGAATATCCGGCCACAGTCACCACTGATCGTTGGATGATCCAAGGATCAGGCTATCTTTCATTCTTTTCTTTTGTTCAAAATCTCATCTGGTTGAAGCAACACTCCCTCGCTCGCCAGATGCCACCGGATTGACCCAGGGTCTTCGGGTCCTGGGGCGATGGATATACCGGGAGGCGTCTATAGGACCGACTGGTACATATGATCTCGGATCATGGACGGTATTGTTTATATGTTTTATCTTGTCTGTGTAAAAAGGAGTTGGGGAGTTTGCAAGAGGAACCCATTGGCGTGATTTTGTCTACTCGGGCGGATGTATACCGTGGTTTAAGCAGGACTTAGACGGGTATTTAATTGAGTGATCGATAGGAAGTTGTCAGACAACATGATGGGCGAGGCTTAGATAGATCACCTACTACAGTAGTAACAGTATATGACGTCGCTACTGGAATCTAGAAATCTCCCGACGCATGAGAGAAGGGACGAAAGAACATGCATGCACTGTGACATTGATAGTTTAAACCCTACTACGCACGAGTATCGACCAAACAACCCAGCCCGTAATCGATCTACCAGGCCTGAGTATGCAATGAGCAGAAGCTTAACAGCACACCTCCATATGATTATCTATCTCGTTGCCTTTCCCGATCCGTTCCATTATCGTCCTATATCACCCCTTACTATTGGCGTAGATAGATAAGAAGGCAGATAGATCCATTGTGTGGGGGTGTTTGTCCGATGAATACCCATTCCCCGGAGCATTATGGTGGCATATAGTACCGATTAGTTATATATATGTGTGTGCTTGTACACCATGGAAAAGGAGAGTAAAAGAAAGACGTGCTTATGGAGTGATTCGGAATGGGGGGGCGGGGATAGGAATATACCTAAGTTGCGTAGTGGGAGGGAGGGAATGTTTATGATTATGATTATTATTGTTTATTATTTCAAGGGTTACGTATGTCTTTTGGATGACGGGATGCTATACGATGGACCTAAGGAGATGGATGCTGGTTGTTGTGGATGGTGGGTTGGGTTAGTACATAGTAGGTAGACCTATTAGGTAGGCTATAGGTATATATATACATTTGGTTGGTTAAGTAAGGTAGGTACATTGTTTAATTTAGGTACGGTCGGACGTATGATGACGATGACGGAGGTACAAAGCAGGTGGTAAGCTAAGGTACCACGACCTAGAAGGAAAAATAAGAAACTAGGGGAAAAAAACACGACGCGCAATCGAGTTGAATCCGACAAAGGATTGAAGTGGACGGTGATATCATGATAGAAATGGGAGATGGGGGGGAGAAGAGACACGGGAAGACGGGAGGAAACACGATGAATAATAAACACTCCAATCGGGGTATGAAACAAAAAGAAAAAGGCTCAAGCACGGGGGTATTATTATTATTATTATTCATATTGAACAGATTTCATCATATGTGGAACTCGGGCTGGAGGTGATTCTTAGTAAGGTGGCGAACTGCAAGTTGTGGATGTGGATGTC